CCCGTAGTTTCACTTGCCTTGGCTCTTTAATATGTATGCGATTTGGTTTGGCTCTTGGCTAGAACACAGATGAAAATACCACAGCGTTAAAAAGACACTGGTGTGCTGATCACAGCCATTGTGACTTTATGAGTAGCTCTTATTTACTGTGCCATACCTTTTGCGCGGCGTAGCGCTGTTACCCCTGAGTTTTATGAATCTGGCCCAATGTCTGCTAGTTTTTCAGAGGTGAAAATTTCCTCTCATAAATCAATAGTGCAGCATATACTCTGTTTTATTGTTCAGATGTCCTGTTCTGTCAACCACTGAGATACAGAACTTTAACCTGAAAGTGAAGGTGAAGTAGAAGGTAAATCTCTGGTGTCCATTATGTATGCTAGTAGGACGCTAAGTATGTTAATAGGATTCTCTCTCTGTTTTTGAGCCTGAGTAAAATACAAATTAAAAGCAGAATACCTCTGTTATTCCTTGATTAATTTTTTGATCTATAGCTAAATAAACGAGTATATGTGTGCAGATTTTGTTGGGATGTGAATAATGGATCTTTCCTATATGAGTCAGAAACAGTTCACTTGGTCCTTTGCTTTTGACAACTAAGATGCAGCGTGTTTGAGAAGAATTTATAATACATTGATATGCAGATTGATCACACAGATTTTTTTCATATTCACAATTTGCTTTGTGCCAAGTAGAAGTTGGAATTGTGCAGCTGTAAAGAAAATAAAAAGTAGGGTTGTGAAGGTGTCATGTTTTAATGCTGTGACAGATACTGCTGGGGGAAATGAAGTAAGACAAGGGGACCAGACATTCAATTTTAGGAAGCCCAGAATTACCACTGGCACCCATGGTAGTGTGTGTGGTGCTGGTACGAGTGCATCACACAAAGTTGTATTGCTGCAGTTTTTACACGTCACTGCTAAGTTAAGAGTAGACCATCTACCAAAAAATAACCAAGCAAGAGCGGCTCTGTGGTCAGAAATGGACTATTTTGACTATTAACGAAGGTCTAGAGGATGGCTAACACCCTGTGCTTCAGTAGCTACAGTCTCTACATGTTCCTACCACAAACTAGCCAGAAAGTCATTGTTCTTTCTTTTGCTTCCACAGAATTGGAGAAGGCCTGCACCTCCCACACCTGCCAGCAGAAAGCGTAGAGGGTCCAGACTGTTTGAACAACACCTGCATACAAACACACCTGTCTGAAGCTGATTTTAGGCCACTCTCCCACCTCTTACAGCTTTACCTGTCACTCTTTACGCTACTGGAACAATATTAGTGTTGCTGGTTTTCCATCCTTTCCAAAAGCTGTTAAACACATTGACTGTTAAACACGCTAAAATAAACACATATATTGCTTTAAAAAAGTCTTTTGTTTTGCAAAAATATTGATATGAGCTATTGATAGTGTCACTAAGATTCATTGGCAAAAATCTCTGGGGAATCCTCTGATCCACCACCCAAATAGTACCTGCTCTGTGAGGGTCCATGGGGGTCCTGACCACTGAAGAACAGGGTAAAAGGGGGCTAACAAAGTATGCAGAGAAACAGATGGACTACAGTCTGTAACTGTAGAACTACAAAGTGAAACTATATGGTCAGTGGAGCTGATAAAATGGAAAATAAATGTGGATAGACCTAATAAAGTGCTCAGGGAGTGTATGTTCAAATAATTAACAGCATGCAGAAATGTCTAAAGATTATAACAAAAGCAAATTAGGGGAAATCGGTGGAGTAATAAGCAAATTATGGTCTATTTAATCATGAAAACGTCTGGATATTGACCGATCCAACATGGCGGACACGTAGACATATCTGCCTTTACTGAGAACAGCAGGCAACACCTGTGTGTCTGATACTGAAGGCGTCTGTTTCGGTGCTTTGCTGCCTGTGCAGACTCATAAGTAAGTGCCTTAGAAGGCTGTGTTGTCCACTGTGTCAGTTGTAGTGTTCTCTGCTAAGTTTTTTTCTAGTGGCATGGACATAGGGGATTATGGGATATGCAAGGCAGCGAAGGATACATCTACACTGCCTTCAAAAATGGCCAAACGGAGGAACCTCAGCAGGCAGCTTTTATACGAATATTAGATTCAGACATGACTGGCTGCCTTCCTGCCTCAGAATACTGTATGAGTAAGGCAGCATTTATTACGCAGCATGTATGTATATCTAAAGTTAAAATGAGAATTTGTAGAGAGAAGAATAGCCACTCAGTAATATCTTAGGGGTTTGTCAAACACTAGAGGGCGCTCCTGAGCGAGTTCAAAATGAAAGGGTTAATATGAAGCATAATTTGTAAATGCTTCAGTATTTTCATTTAGAAGAGTGCATTAACTTCCTGAACGCAGAACAGCATAAAATATATTTTTGAGTGATTTTGATCTCCAGTTGCAGAACGTTATAATGGCGCCTCGTGTACATCAGTGAGAGCCAATGAGCTGCTCCGCTTGCCAGCTAATCGGCACTCAGTAGCAGTAATGCTAGCATAATATATATAAAGGGTAAGTTTTCTTTGCATTTTTAGTGAAATACATCCTTCTTTCTAAAATTAAAGGAAGGTCCTGGATAAGTGGTTAGAAACTATTTTAACTTTTCATTTTTAGCCATTTAGCTCCATTCACACCAATTCATGCAGCGTTGTTCGTGGGCCCTTTGTTGACTCCGACTCTTGACTCTTACTGTTGGAATCAGTGGAGTTGACACTTTGACTCCACTTAAGACCCGGTAATAAAGGGATACAGCAGAGATGAAACGATCCTAAATATAGTTTACCTAGTTTTTGATTGGCTGTAGATTAATGAGGGGCAGAGTGATGGCTCTTTAGTAAAGGGAATGGTTCTATTTAGAACCATAAGTTCTGTATGATTAAATGGTTCTTTGCATGATGAAAAGGTTATTCAGATTGATGGAGAATGTGTTATATTTGGTTCTATATAGAACCTTTTTGAAAATAGTTATATATAGCATCAAAAAGGGTTTAGCTATAGTGAATGCCAAGGTTGTAGCAATAGAAGAACACTTCTTGGTGCTATATAGAACCATATACAGCACATTCTCCATCACTCTGAAGAACGTTTTCACCATGCAAAGAAGCACTGTAGCATGAAAATGGTTCTTTGAGTGTCCATGGTTCTATACAGAACCATTGTCTTTAAAAGAGCCCTTGAAGAACCATCTTTGTACTGAGAAAGCCCTTGAAGAACCATCAGTGTACTGAGAAAACCATTGCTGTGGTCATTGAACCATTTTCAAAGTCTTTTACAATTCTTCAAAAAGAGAAAAAGTTGGGTGTTATCTTGTTCTGAGAAATTGGCTTCTTGTTCAACGGACCACCTTAAGTGGTGCAGCAGTTACCTTACGGTGCGCCAGTGCCAGAATTCAACTGCCCCCAAGTATGTATTCCTGCAGGCTGTACTACAAATAAGTGGGACTTGACTCTAAAAGGGCCGGTCTTGGCTCCAAATGGGTCTGCGTTCTGTTAACTGCTTTGTTATTGGACTAAAACAAATATATGCAAACAAACATAACTGGTAGGTCCAGCACTCTTTACAACATTTTGTGTTCGACTCATTTATAACTCAGTGCTTATATCAATGCTATGAAATGCTGGCCTTTTAATACCGTAGTGTAGAACGCTTTCAGGAGAAACTCAGATATAGTCTATAACCCGGCTTTATTAAACTCAGCACAGAACAGCGCACAGAAAAGGGAGAGACACTGCTCAGGCTAGGCTAGCTCAGAGAACTTGTAGAGAGGAGAATTATCACTCTTATGTCTTCCGGGTTTCTCAAATGCTAGAGGGCGCTCCCGAGCGAGTCCAAAACGAATGGGTTAAGATGGAGCATTTGAGTAAAAGTTTATAAATGCTTAAACATTTTTAATATTAAAAATAATCCATTCATATACTGAACGCTGAACAACATAACACATTTTAACACTGCTGTTATATTTTTAAGAGCTTTTAAACTCGAGTTATAGGAAACTGTGCCTCGTGTACGTTCATGACGCCAAACAAGCAGAAGACAGTAGCAGTAATGTTAAGAGTCCTGCTGCCCAAAACCCGTTTACTGTAGAATAAAGGAAACATAGTTACGTTTTCTTTGCTTTTTTAGTGAAATACATCCGTCTACTTTCTAAAATTAAAGGAAAGTTCTGGGCGAGTGATTAGAAACTATTTCAACAGAAATCAACAGCAAGCAACACTAGAGCTATGGAAAGCAGGAAAAAACTTCAAGAAAGGCTGTTCGGACGAAAGGTTGACACATTCGGTAACAATGACCATTTAACGTTAACCTTTCCTGAACGGTTTGGCTTTCCGTAGTTCCAGTGTTGCTTGCCGTTGATGTCAGTGAGTCGCGCCCGACGGTTTGAGTTGTGAAGAGAAACGTGAATCGGTTGCAACACCTGCAGCTTTATGGAGACTCGCAAGAATCCATACGTAATCAGTCCAACATCTTTATTTCAAACTAAGCTCAGATTAACTGGGTTATTTACAGTTGGTACAGATAGCTGGCGTATTGCAGCCCTGTGAGATGGTGCTGGGGGTATTTAGCTCGGCACGTGAGTGTGGTTCTCTTCTCACTCTGGGATTTTTGCCACTGCTGGTCGGCCTGTATGACCGTACGCTTCGATACACCTGCAAATTCAGCTACTTCCTTCACACTGTGGCCTTTGGCGCCCAAATGCAATCGGTCCTTATTGCCAATCATTAACATCTGAAGGAGACATTCACTGCACTGTACCACCTCTTCTCAATCTATTAATCCCATTGCACACCCCGCAGGTATTTATAGCCCGATCATCCTTGTGCAGCGCCATCTGCAGGAGGCTGAAGTTACTACCACCTTAAACACGCAAGGTGACTAAATTTTAGGAGCTTTAGGTAAATTTAAAACAGGTGATAGTGTTAAAATACTCCAAAAACTGAGACTAGGGGTAGTTAGCACACAATGAACGATGGCACACAATAACGACAAACGGGTTCTGTAGCATTACAGTATCTCAAGATAAATCACCATGGCAACATTAGAGAGAGAAGCAGAAAAGGCTTTATTATAGGATTCAAGATTGCCTTTGAGCGATATCTTAAAGAAAAAAAAAATCATTTTATGTCTGTATCATGCAAGTGCTGTATTATACAACTTTGAAAATCATGTTTCAGGCATAAATTTACATTAATTTAAGATGAAACATTGCATTTTTGTATATTTCATGTACAGTTCAGAAAAAAGCATAAAGTACACATTCACATATCATTATACATAAACATTTGACATCATAGGATATTAATTTCCTGTGAAATTTCCATGTAAATATTGTTAACAGAAAATTGTCTTGTGTAACTGCGATGTTTGTGATTTCCCCATTGCATTCTGTCTCTGTATTGCACCTCCTAGCAGGTCAAGAAAGTGGACCCTGTCTAACGACATTGAAGTAAACCTTCATAAAATTACATTAACAACATAAAACGGCATAAAGTAAACCTTACTCAGGTGTGGACTCTTGGTCTGGGGCTCTTTGGGGACCCGATGCTGGAATCCAGAGATCAGATGTGGCCATAAAGCTTGCTCTGTAGTCCCTACAACAACCAACCAATATCATAATTAACATAATTACAGTGACACTGGAATCAACTAAATGTTTTGATTTACAATGAGTTTGATTAAAGCTTATGTGAATCCCTGTTAGAGTAGTGCTAACATACAACTACAACCCCATTTCCAAAAAAGTTGGGATGCTGTGCAGAACGGAAATAAAAATAGAATGATGTGCAAATCATGCAAACCATATTTTTAAAGGAAAATACTAAAGACAACATATCAAATGTTGAAAGTGAGAAATTGTGTTTTTTGAAAAATATATGCCCATTTTGAATTTAATGGCAACAATACATTCCAAAATGGGACGGGGGCCTGTTTACCACTGTGTTTCATCACCTCTTCTTTTAACAACACTCTGTAAATGTTTGGGAACTGAGGAGACACTGCTGTAGTTTTGAAAGTTAAATGTTTTCCATTCTTGTTTGATACAGGATTTCAGCTGCTCAACAGCTCAGGGGCTCATTTGTCTTAAATTTTTATTTAATAATGTGCCAAATGTTTTCAGTGGTGACAGGTCTGGACTTGCGGCAGGTCAGTTTAGCACCCAGGCTCTTTTAATACAGAGCAATGCTGTTGTAATACATGCAGAATGTGGTTTTACATTGTCTTGCTGAAATAATCAAGGCCTTCCCTGAAAAAGACGTTGTCTGGATGGCAGCATATTATGCAAAAACATGTATATATCGTTCAGTATTAATGGTGCCTTCACAGAGGTGCACGTCACCCATACCATGTGCACTAATGCCCCCCTAGATCATCATGAATACTGGCTTTTGAACTGTGCACTGATAACAAGCTGAGTGGCCTTTAGCCCGGAGGACACAGAAGATTTGACATGTTCAGTGTAATTTCAGTCATTTCGATCAGGGATCCGCATTCAGTCTAATTTTGATATTCACGTGTCCATAAGAGATCATGACCAGATTTTTCCTTCTCTGCTGGATACCCAGCAGGTATTCAGCAGAAAAAAAAACAACACCAGAAAAAAAGACCTGCCTCTTCAGATGAGCTAATGAGCTAATAGAGCTAACCAGCGATGAGGGCTCATTGTCTTCTACACAAAGTCTTTTCAGGACAATTTTCTGAAAAGTGTGCCAACATATTAGTTTGTTAGAGAAATATATTTTCGTTGTTTCTGGATCTAGCTAACATCAGCTAGAGAAGTTAGCCTTGTTAGCAACACTGTCACAATACTGTTACACTATCTGTGCCTTCTCTGTCTTCATCCTGAAGAACACGTCCCCAACAGCATGTTCAGGCACTCGTATTTTGGATTAGCAAAGTACACCAGGCATAACATTATGACCTTGTTTCTACACTCATTGTCCATTTTATCAGCTCCACTTACTATATAGGTGCACTTTGTAGTTCTACAGTTACAGACTGTAGTCCATCTGTTTCTCTGCATACTTTGTTAGCCCCCTTTTACCCTGTTTTTCAGTGGTCAGGACCCCCATGGACCCTCACAGAGCAGGTACAATTTGGGTGGTGGATCATTCTCAGCACTGCAGTAACACTGACGCGGTGTGTTAGTGTGTGTTGTGCTGGTATGAGTGGATCAGACACAGCAGTGCTGCTGGAGTTTAAGTGTCAATGCTGGACTGAGAATAGTCCACCAACCAAAAATATCCAGCCCACAGCGTCCTGTGAGCAGCGTCCTGTGACCACTGATGAAGGACTAGAGGATGATTAGCTCATACTGTACAGCAAGAGATGAGCTATTGTCTCTGGCTTTACATCTACAGGGTGGACCAACAATGTAGGTGCATCTAATCGAGTGGAAAGTGAGTGGACACAGAGTTCACTCTTGTATGTGTATGAAGGATTGTGTGAGATGCCCTATGGAGAGTTGCGAAAGAGGGCCCTGTAAGGAGGGAACAGCCTGGTAAGAGTCAGACCAAAGTGGGTTTTTTAAAAAAAGGTTTGGTTTTAAAGGTTACCAAAAAAGGTGTAAGGTTTAGATATGATGGGGACTAAAATGCTATTGAATTGTGTAACTGGGATGGGGAGATTACCTCATCGCCTCAGAGGGGAATAAAAAGGGATGTTTTGAAATGATATTCGCATTGTAGTTGACCGGGAACCATCTTGCCATTTGTTGCTTATTAAAGCAAAGGCCTTTTCCTTCCTTCCACAAGAACTCGGCGGCTGAAGTCTTTTTCATTCCTTTTTATCCTCTTTCATTTTCATTGATATTCTTTGATTCTTTTAATTCTTTTTGAAGACGTTAGATTAGGGCAACAGTGTAGACAGTATTAGCATTTCTTATAAATGTCCAGACACTGGGCAAAAGAGATAGCTCTTGGCTGCGACAGAGTCTTTAGTGGGGAGCAGGGTGTCCAAAATCTGGCCCCAGGGCTAAATGTAGCTTTCAGACAGATTTTAATTGGCCCATGGCTTCTGTTTAAGAGCATGTTATAAATGACCTGCCAGCCAACGTGTGAGAACTGGTGATCGGGTTCCCACTGCTTGCCCGTCTCCTGGACCAGTTTGCTGTACAATGCTGTGCAAACCTCACTTGCATGAACTGACCCTCCTGATGATGCTGCTGCTGCACAGACTCAAACGATTTAATCAGAGCCACTGCTTCACCTGCTTTCCCCCTTTTCTGTATTTTAACATTTTATACTAATGTTAAAACCTTATTCCCTGTTCATTTTGCTTTTTTGTCATTGTTTGCTACCCGGTGTCGTCCAGAAGAGGATGAGTTCCCCTTTATCTAACAAAACCAAAAATTTATATATTTTCGTGTCACAGGATCTGTTTTTTAATAAACACTTCAATATGAATATACTATACACTGGACATGATTTAATGTTACTCAATGTCACGACTCCCGTAGGCTCTGAACTTTCCTTGGACTCCATCTCCCAGAATCCCCTGGGAGATCACGTGACGCCAGCCTCACTTTCACGCTCCAACCAGCGCTCCAGTTCCCCAGAGTACTGATTGTTTTTTACCTGTCTCTCTCTGATTTGTTTAGCTTATAGCCCGGGCTTGCACTTAGTCTCATTGCGAGGTATTGCTTCTTCTCGCAGAGCTACTGAGCGTTTATTTTCTGATTGTGTGTTTATATTCTGACCTTTTTGCTGTGTGTTTTGACCTGCCTTTTGCCTGACCCCTTGTGGATACTTTTGCCTGGTTATGTTTGTATTTTTGTGTGTTTTGTCTTTTCTGGATCTGACCATTGCCTGTGACCTGACTACGATTGTGGATTCTGTTTTCACCAGTAAAGCTTCTCATTCCCTTTTTATCTGCAATTTAAAAAAGTCTTGTGCATTTTTGTACAATTATATGAAACACGGTAGCTCACAGAAAGCTCCAATTCAGTGCACTGATATTTTTAAAAAGAATCATTTGTGTATAACATTTTGGTCCTTTTGACATGGTACAGTTTGGCCCTCTTTGAAAATAGTTTGGACACCCCTGGTGTGGAGAGATTAGCTCAACCATCAACCCTTAAACACTCCACAGTGAGTGAGGCTCAGAGCCTTTTGTTCTCCCCCTTGCGGGCATTCAGCTGCCTCTCATCAGCAGCCTGCTGAGTTGTTGAGTGCTGCCTCTTTGTTGCACATGCTCAGGCTATCCACAACAGTGGTGCTGAAACTTGACAGCTTCATGCCTCAGACAGCCGAACGCTGACTTGCATAGGCTCTGATATCACAGCCCAAGGCTGGTGGGCGGGTCCGCTGCGGAGTTTGGTCAGGCCAAAGGGCCGGCAATCTGGAGAGTCCATCCAGTGGGCCATCCCTATGACAGACGTCAGAGGCATAAAACCACAGGGTTATTCTAGAATTATTGTCTTTGGTTTTTGTCATCCACTGATGGGAGCATGATCCATGACTAGAGCAAACAGCCTTCCTGTCAGGTAGAACCAAAGTTCTACTTGATGGCGACTCGATGGCAGATGCTTCCCTCTACATGGTGACATACTTTTATTCTGCCAGGGTCAGCATACTGCCAATGTACAAGCTGGGCCATTTGTCCCCATCAGACCCCTGAGAGAGGACTGGCCCCAAACCCACATCAGCAGCATCAGTCTCGATCACAAATGGATGGCTAAAGTCAGGGTTTCTCAACATTGGATAAGACAAGAGGGCATGTTTGATATTTTGGAACGCATGCTCTGTATTGACTGTCCATACCGCTTTGTCCGTCTGGCCCTTTTTGGTCAGTATTTGAAGTGGGGAGCCTACAGAGGTGAAGTTAGTGCCCATAGAAACTTGTCACAGCCCAAGAAGGCACATACTTGAGTTTTTGGTTCTGGTCATGGACAGTTGTAAATGGCCATCACCTTTTTTCCTATGGTTGCAGCAGGCTGTTTCTGCAAAAGCAGACAGGAATAGGGTGAGGTTAAGTCCTTTGTTTTAACAAATTAATGTGATTAAGTTTTTTTTTGGGGTTCATGTTCATCCACCTGCTGTATGGCTGATGTACTTTATAGTTGATGTGCCCTACCCTTTCTTTAATGAGAAATGGACCATGCCACGTCGCTAGAAACTCACAATTGGCAGCTGGTACCAGGACTTGCACTCAGTCTCTCGGCCAGAATTCGTGAGGCTTGGCTGGCCAGTTGTATGCTTTTTTGTTTGGCATGCTGCGCCTCGTCCATATGTTCTTGTGCAACTTGGTGCTACTGAAAGGAGAAGGCTGGCTCTCCCAAGCCTATTTGGCTATGTCCAGCAGCCCTTGGGGACTACTATCATACAGTAGAAGGGGATGAAGCAGTGGAGGCCTCTAGGCCTTCCTGGACAGTGAAGTGCACATACAGCAAACGTAGGTCCCAGTCACACCCATCTGCAGCCATTGCTCATCAGAGCATGCACTTTTCAAGCTGTGGTAAAACTGCTCAACTAGGACGTCAGTCTGAGGGGCGGTAAACAGATTTTCATAAATGTTAAATGTTCAACAACTAAAGTACCTCATTCATCAGCTGGGACTCAAATGGAGTGCATTGGTTTGTTAGCAGTTCTTTGGGTAGGCCTACACAAGTGAATATCAGTATGAATTCTCAGGCTTTGGTGGTAGCTCTCTGAAGAGGTATGGCTTCTGGATAGCATGTGGCGCAATCCACCAGGACTAGTATGTAGTGGGGTCCAAGATTTAGGCAGTGGCCCCACCATGTCCATTCCTATCCGTTCAAAGGAAACCCTGATAATAAGGAGTGGGACGAGTGGTGTGGGGGGTGTTTTATGCAGGGTGGTGCGTTGACAGGCAGGGCACCACTGACAAGTATTTTCCATGGAGGGTCAATGAACCCTTTCTTTAATTATCCTACACCACAAAGTATTCACTGGGCAGATTACCAGGACTGCTTTTCTCCTTCCTGGAAATTCCTCTATGCATGTTTCAGCGCATCACCTTTTCGTTATCATGAAAAAAGTCCTACAGTCCTAAAAGTAAGTGAACCCTTTGGTATTACCTGGATCAATGACTACTAATAACATGCAGTCTGATCATTATCCAAGTCAATCACAATTTAACTAAATTAATAAGTCAAAAACACTTGTACTTGTCAAGTTTTTTTATTGAGCACACAGAGTAAATATCAGTGCGGAATGGAAAAAGTAAGTGAACCTCTGTGCTAATGACTTCAAGACGTCTCCAGTAAAAGGCGTTTCTGTTAAGGAGATGAGATTGGAAGTGTGGGTTTCACGAGTGCTTTACCCATTAAATAAAGACAGCACACAAAGCCTGATTACTGACAAATCTGTCCTTCTCAAGAAAGGTGAGTGTGAACCATGCCTCCATGTAAATGTAACGGAGTTGAAATTAAACAGTTGATAAAATATTGAGTTTCACCAAAATGACTCCATTTTTGTAAAAAGGTTCAGAACAATTGTAAAAAGTTATTTATATTTTTCTAAAAAAGGTTATAACTATTTTTAGGGAGCTTTTCTTTTCTTGCTGTGACGTCACTGCAGACTGTGTCCCTCTGCTGCTGCCGTACCTCCATCAGACGAGTGAGAGCTCTGAGATGGACGGTGTGTAGCTGCTGTGGTTTCTCATGAATATATAATTCAATTCAGTTCATATCGAGTTAAAAACTTTAAAACATTGTTCTAACACATTATATGAGCATGGGATCATTTTCTCAGAGTGTAGTTTTGATTATAAATGCTGTTATTGTCGAGTTATTGCTCAGACATGTGATTCAGCTAACTGAGCCATGGTAGCGAAATAGCTAGCTAACACTCTCGCTTGGCAGCAAGGTTGCATTATAAGAACTTCTCGTTTCTTCTAATTTCATTTTTATATGCTCAGCATGTGAGGTTTGCAGCCGTCTAAGGCAAGAGAAGATTAATACACTATAAAATCTGTTCCAGATATGTGCTCCCCCTAGTCTGTTCCCTCCTAAAATGTGCAGTGCATTTTGCTGCTGCTAGCCGCGCAGCGTTGTTTTTTTTGTGTGTTTGTTCTGCAGTATGTTCATTTTGTCGTGCAATAAGAAAAAAAAAAGCTTTTCTCTGTAATTTTGGAATTTTTATAATGTGAACAAACTATACGATCTCGTGCATGTTATAGTAATGTGAAAAGTGCTCTTTTAAATGAAATACTGTAAGCTCAGATGAGTGAGAGCTCTGAGATGGACGCATGTGAGGTCTGCAGCCGTCTAAGGCAAGAGAAGATTAATACACTATAAAATCTGTTCCAGAATAAACAGAGTGGAGAGCAAGCCCTTGTGTCCGACTGTTTGATGACCGAATAGTGGTCGTTACATAAACAACTTTAAGAAGAAGTCCGAAGAAGTTTTACAGAGATGGATTGAGCTGGAAAAGGCTACAGAAGTATTGCTAAGCATAAGACCTTGGTGTACATCAATCCACGGTTAGAGAAATTGTCTACAAATTAAAAAAAATTAGAACTGTTGCTACTCTCCCTAGGACTGGGCATCCTGTTAAGATCACTCCAAGAGCACAATGCGCAATTCGGCAAGAGAACCCATGATTATCAAAAAAAAGACGTACAGAAGAATCTATAAACTGCAGAAACCTTCATTCTTATGTCCACTATTAGAAAAACATTGATCAAGAATGGTCTTCATAGAAGAACGCCATGATGGAAGCCGCTGCTCAAGTCTCAAGTTTGCCGACGACCACCTGGATGTTCCACAATGCTTCTGGGAGAATGTTTTATGAACAGATGGGACAAATGCACAACTCAATGTTTGGAGGAAAAAGGACACTGCACACCAACACCAAAACCTCATCCCAACTGTGAAGCATGGTGGTGGAAGCATGGAGCATCATGGTTTGGGACGTCTTTGCGACCCCAGGGCCTGGATGCCTGGGGAACAGTGAATCAAAACATTTTACAGAAGGTTGTAATGGCTGTAGTCCATGATCTCAACCTGAAGTGATGCAACAAGACCTTGACCCAAGGCAATCAATTAGATTAACTTAGGAATGGTTGAAGAAAAAAAAAAAGATTTGTGTTTTGGAACAGCCAAGTCAGTTAATCCTATCGAGATGCTGTGGTATGATCTGAAGAGGGCTGTGCAAGCAAAGCATCCCACAGATATTGATGAACTGAAACACATTTACAGGGAGGAATGGACTAAAATTCCACTAGTGGTGTTTGGTGGAGATGATTGTTGCTAAAGGGGATCTACAGGTTATTAAATTCAAGGATTCATGTTTTCTAGCCTGCACTGTGGATGTTTACTCAATGTGCTCAATAAAAGACATTAAAAGTATAAGTGTTTGTGTTATAATTTTTGTTAGATTGTGTTTAACTATGATTCTGACTTAGACAACGATCAGACCACATTTTATTAGTTTATTATTATCAATGCAGAAATTTAGGCAATTCCAAAGGGTTCACGTACATTTTCTTGCAGTCGTATGGACAATTGCAACCAATATTTTAGCTGTAATTTATAAAAGTTCCAAGTTCTTTTTTTCCGTCTATCTCTTGCTTCCTTTTCTCTATTTGCGTTTTACACCACTCTCTTTATCGTTGCTGCTTAGCGACATTACTTAATCCATTTTTTAACCAAAACATGGCTGGAGAGTTACATTTAATGTACCTCCCTGTTGAACCCATTAAAGGTGCCTGTTGGTTCCTGGTGGTGTGCAGTAGTCACTAATGGTATTCTATGTTTTCCGGATGGATTGATATGACAGTGTAAAAGATTCTGATTGTTTAATCAGGTGTTTTGGGGCTGATTCCACATACAATTGATTATTTCCTATTGGTCTCTAATGGCAACTATCAAGCCAATTCCCATTAGGAAGCAAAACCATCAGGTTTTATTCCCGACAAAAACACTGTGGTGGCAGAGCAGCACTGGCGTCATTAATAGGCTGGCGGTGCATGTCAGGCTGAGAGCGCCTGTCTGCAGACCTTCTTATCTTTTGTGCTTTCTGAGGATCTGTATTGTTTTCAGACTTTCTTCGACTAGGAGTGTTGCTCTTTTTGCATAATCTCCTGGGACTTTGGACTTAATGCTTAAATGCCTTAATGCTTAAAGGAGCAGAGTGTAACCTCTGGCAGTGAGGCTGAGGATTGCAACCAAGTGAACCAGCCCCTCTCGCCCCTTCCTTTCTAAAACCTTCGTTGGCCATCAGGTTGTCTGCCATCTCTCGCCCTGATTTCATTTAGCTTCTCCATGTTTTTGTTTGTTTGACAGTGAGGATTCAGCCTCTCTTGCTTTTTCTTGTAATGAGCACGATCCTCTATTTGAAAAGTTGAGTGCTCAAACTTCTCACAATACAAAATGGTTAGCCAGCACCGGGGTTCTAACAATTTATCTTACTCACCATAAGTGTATCATTAGTACAGCATAGTAACTCAGTGTTTTAAATGTTCTAAGGTATTTTAATGTTAATATACAGACTCACCTCTCTGACAAGCGACTTGCTTATCACCTCTATCACCAACTATAGATTTATACTACTTGGCAAATTATGATTACATACTATTTTATTTCACTTAATTCTGAGAGAATTTTTGTCTAATTATTCTGTCCAAGTACTCTCCAAATACATCTGTATATAGCAGTGGTGCTTAGCAAAAGCGAACGTCAAATTCCGAAATTACAAGCCTATAAATAGGGCTTTCATGATCATGAAATTGTAACTGATGGTTAATTGTGCTATAAATAATTGTGATGAATAATTGCAGTCGCGGGCTGGAGGTTAAGGAACAAGTCCTGTGACCCGAAGGTCACCAGTTTGATCCCCTGAGCCGACAGGACGTGACTGAATTGCCTTTAAGTGAGATACCTATCCCCCAACTGCTCCCCGGGCACTGTCGATAGGGCTGCCCACTGCATTGGGCAAGTGTGCTCACTGCCCCCTAGTGTGTGTTCACTAGTCTGTATGTGGTGTTTCACTGCACGGATGGGTTAAATGCGGAGGTGAAATTACAGCAGCATTTAGGGTGGATTGCAAAGTTTGAATAAGAAGCCAACTTCAGTCTCGTCTAGTTAGCTTTGTCACATGCACTCATTGATGCAGTTGACTAGTATTACATACGTCTCTGTGCATGTGGTTCATCCAGTGCTTTACCCGGCTCTCTGAGAGATAGATTTATCAGCTTAATTGTTTGATTAGATGCATCACAGACAGAGAATGGTGTTCCAACTGTCATTCTTTGTTTAAGCGGTGTCAAACATGATGTGTTATTATTTACTCACTGCTTCTTAATTGATTTCCTTTTCTTGACGTTGGCACAGCCCAGTTGTTGGGCTTCAGCCTATACAAGGGGGGCCTGTATGGAGCTTGCATAAAAGAGAGAGTAAAAAAGTAGGAGTCTCTGTAGGGACTGTGCTGCTAAATTTGTAAACTGGGCCAGCTTTGGGTTAACCAACGCTTTTGCAATATTGTGTGTTTTTTGTGCGGTGTTTTTTTCTTGTCATTTATGTTTTATTGTATGTGAATGGTTTTGAGACACTTTAAGACTCCCTACACCAGTTGCTTAATAAATGGAACATTTCACTCCTGTTGCTGCATCAAATTCCATCTTTTCCTCTATCCTCCAAGTGACTGAACATCATGGTATAAGGATTTATAGAGGCATAAGAATAATCTATGCTACTAAGCTTAGTCTGTTTATTATCGTTATTCAACAGTTGCTAATAAATGTTCTTAAAAATGAAACCTCAGTTGAGTTGGGACCAAACAATGCATCAAAAGATGAACAGTGAATCTCTGGCCCAATCCCATTTCTTCTTTTTACCCCTAACCCTTGTTTTTGAGTGTCATCCTAACCCCTTTGAACTGAGTAGTGGTCAAAAAGGGGTAGTGGTTGAGATCTTCCCTCTGAAATGGGACCCTCAAATAAAGAGCATTACTTCATTAACAGCTGCTAGCGCTGCTCTGTAGGCGACCCTGCCAGTCTGCAGTGACAGCAGAGGAGGGTAAAGTTCAGCTCCTCACTGCTGGGCTTTAGTTACATTTAGGGCATCATATGCCTTCAAAGAGGGGGCCATTATTTATTATTGCCCACCCCTAATTCTTCAGTGATACAAAGCTGAAGTCTGATATTCATCAGCTTCTTGTTCGAATGTTCCACTTGAGTGAAACAGGGGTGTGGTCACTAATTATTATAGGGTGGTTTATTATGTCTGAGATATTAGATATGATAGAGTTACTGGTTAGAAAAAATCAATGCGAGAATGTGAGCCGTGAACTGGTGAATAAAAAGAGAATTCTTTGGTCATTGGATGTTTGAGGCGCCAACCATCGCTGAGCCCCAAATCAGTCATAAAGTATTTAATGGTATCTGTTGCTTGCCAATTATGGGTGGAGTGTGCACTGGTTTTTCTGTCTAGATATGGGTCCATGATAGTAATGAAGTCACCTCCAATTATAATTGCGGAATCTGAGATATTATAAAGATGATTGAAAAACTCCTGAAAAAAAGGGTGGGTCATCAGTATTTGGGCCATATATATTTGTAATAGTTAAGGAGATGTTGGAGATGCTAATGTTGATTATGATATACCTCCCTTCTGCGTCTGATATAGTGGTGTTATGTTTGAAAGTGATTTTTTGATTTATTAGGATGGAAACACCTCTTTGTTTGGAGTTGTAGTAAGTGTGCTGACTTCAATTTGTGATGATTTGCTTCTGATAGATGTGTTTCTTGTACTAAACAGATATCTGCCTATAAAGAAGATAGAAGGTGTAGTACCTTGGTCTGTTTAGCCTTTGTGCCAATACCACGAATGTTCCAGGTAACAAACTTAAGTGACGGCATGTGTGGTGAAGAATTCAATTGTGTGTATTGAAGCTGTTAAATGAGTGTGAAGATGTTTGTGATTGTCTTCTGGTGTGTGTGGTGTAGAGTGTTGTGTATGTGAGCAGAGATACATCTTCAATATCTGGAATATATGGCAGTGACGAGAGGTTTTGTTTAGTTTTTGTTTTTTCAGAGAAGAAAAATAATATGGGAAGAGGGAGAAGAAGAAAAAAAGACCAAAAAAAAAAAATTCCACCCTACCCTTCTATCTCAACAACCCCTACCCCTAGACGTGAATACACAAAACAGAGGGGTAGGGCTAAGTGGTAGGGGCGAGGGGTGAAATGGGATTGGGCCTCTCTCTCCCTCTGTTTCTCTAAATGATATTGACAAAAAACACAAAACATGTTAGTTTTATAGCTTTAATATCTGGCTGTTAATTTCAGCACTTCATCTATTTACACAAGAATAAAACAGGTGTAAAACTGTATGCAGAAGCAGTAGGGGTGCAAATTATGTTTGGGAATTGAACCTATTATGTGATGACGTAGAGGACGTGTGTTCCAAACCGGTTTAAAACTGTTGCTTCAAGCACAGGAGCTCCGAAAGAGTCAAAACATTTGGGACTGGTTTGCTCATTTCTACCCTCACTAATTCTCACTGTGGCCAATTTGAAACAAGCACCTTGCACATGTGTCTTCTTGGTTACACCTGGGATGATGTTCAGGCAGCTCTGGTCTGAGTACATGCTGGTGTTCCTAATGGCAGGTACGGTAGGTGCAGGCATTTTCCAGATCTGTGGAAGCAAAAGAAAAGAATAATGTCTCCTGGTTGATTCTACAAAGACCATATACACTTTTACACTGGCCACTTTATTAGAAACCCCACATTAGTGGTCAGTTTCTGTGCACATTAGGATGATATTCCATGGGGGCCAAAAAAGACAAGGACTAACAAAAATATTTGGGTAACACTTTACTGTAGGGTGCTGTTCATAAGGCAGCATGACATCTATATAAGCTTGTCATGACAACTGACATAACCCTACATAACTGTTTATAAATGCTTGTTCCAATAAGTGTCATTCGCTATAAAGGTTACATTTGGCAATTTTGATCAAAGTCAGCTGAAGTAGCCTTTATGACAGATGATGCCTGTTGTAATAAGCATTTATAAACAGTTATGTCAGTTTTAATGACAACCTTAAGTAGGTGTCATGTAGCCTATTGCACAGCACCCTACAAGTGTTACTGATATTTGTTTATTGATTGATTGTCTTGCTTAACATACAGTTCCAACAGTTATGCATCTCGCATTCTGTCACCCACCTGTGTAAATCTTACAGTCTGTAAAGGCCACATCACACTGGAAGCACTACTCATCTTTTTCCATTACTGCACTAAATTAAAGCCATAATCAAACCACAAAAAGCCAGCATCCGTGATGGTATAGGGGAGCATTAGTGCACATGGCATGGGTGACGTGCACATGTGTGGAGGCATCATTAATGCTGGATGATGTATACAGATTTTGGCAACATATGCTGCCATCCAGATGACGTCTTTTTCAGGAAAGGCCTTGTTTATTTCAGCAAGACAATGTAAAACCACATTCTGCATGGCTCTATAGTAAAAAAAAAGTTAGGGAGCTGAACTGACCTGCCTGCAGAGCCCACTGAAAACCTTTACCATTTTATGAAACGAAAAATACGACAAATGAGACCTGAACTGATGAGCAGCTGAAATTCTATATTAAGTAAGAATAGGAAAACATTTCACTTTCTAAACTACAGCAGTGTCTCCTCAGTTCCAAATCACTTACAGAGTGTTGTTAAAAGAAGAAGTGATGAAACACAGTGGTAAACATGCCCCCATCCCAACTTCTTGTGGAATGTGGTGTTGGTATCAAATTCAAAATGGGCATATATTTTTCAAAAAACAAAATTTCTCAGTTTCAACATTTGATTTGTTGTCTTTGTACTATTTTCAAATAAATATAGGGTTTAAATGATTTGCACATCGTTGCATTTTGTTTTCATTTACATTTTGCACAGCGTCCCAACTTTTTTGGAAATGGGGTTGTATGTTCACAAAGCCCAAGATATGGTCTCAGGATTCTTCACAATAGTTGTGTAGTGTGGTTCATTCTGAAGGCAGCTGCCAAATTAGTCACTGCCTTCAAAGGCAGCTCTCTCTTTGGGCAGCATTCCTAATAATTGGGACGCAACCAAACATGCCTTTCCTCCAAAGAACACTGCTCAGTAAAGCAGCCAGGGTGCCTTGACAAGCCGGAAAAGGAAAGAGGTATCACCATGATGAGCATTTATGAGCATTTTTACCTGGCACATTGCTGGAACACTGGCGGAGAAAATCCATGGTGGCCACGTAGGCGTCACCTAGGAATTCCCTAAAGGTCTTTGTTGCCGGAATCTCTTGGAGACATTTAGTGGAGTCCTTAAAGAGCAGGTTTTTACCATTCTCTGACTGGAACATCTTGAATGGGGCATCAGCAACGGCATCTCCAAACATACCCTGAAATACAGAAGAAGAAAACTCGCCTAAATGAAAAACAATACAGAAGATGAGATGTAGCCGCTCTGTCTATGCTTCTATTAGAAGTCGCTGGTTTTCATGGATCTGATATCTGATAATGAACAGTCATTATATATTATTGGTTTACTTAAATACTTCTTTCCAGTGACAGGCTCATTTATTCAGTATTTATTATTGCATATTCATTGTAATGCTATTCATTGTATTGTGTATTTTCTTCATTCTTTATTCACATTGCTTGCGTTATTTTGCTATCCGGTGTCGACCAGAGGAGGATTTTTTTTTTTGACTCTTGGTTCCTCTCAAAGTTTCTTCTTCTTGCTCTTCGGGAGTTTTTCTTGCCACTGTTGCCATTGGCGATGCTCAGGACTCAGACCTGGCTGTCTGTAAAGCTGCTTTATGACAAGCCCACTGTATAAAGCGCTCCATAAATACCTGAATAAATGAAGGTGTAGTGTTCTGTGCTGAGTTTCTGGGCCTACTCAGTAGCCTCAAAGTCTAAATGGCAATGTTCAAATCAATTCAATGCAAATTTTATTTATACTTGGAAATAAACTGAGGAAGAATCTTTAAACAGTAAAAATATTCAAAAGTTACAAGTAACACAAAACAAGTTTTTCTAATTAAAAAACCAAACAAATAATATAAATATTGGAAATGAGAAACAGTCAGGTGGTCACAGTTTGAAAGTGACAACTTTGAAATTGAAAAACCTGTCATTTTAGGTTTTGCTGTACCTTAATCTGCCAATTAATCTAATACATTTTATGAATATTGCTTGTCTGCATAATGATCATTTCCATGACTGCAGTAGAGAGAAGTCCATTGTTGGGGTGGCTGAGGTCTTTCACTGTCTTTCTAGCTTTAGTCCAGCACCAGAAAGTGGCCATGCAGTCATACGTGTACAGTGATTACGGCAGGGGGCTCAGTAAAGTGTATAAAGGTATCCATGAACACCGGTGCTAGCTGGTCAGTGCAGGCTCTAGGGACCCTACCAGAGAAATTGTCTGGTCCTGCTGCCTTCCTGGTGTTCACTCTCCTGAAAGCCTTCCTCACTTCACGCTCTTTGATGGTGAAGGCGTTCCCCGTTCTGATGAGCTCCACATGCAAACTGCCATCAGCACTGTTGACGCTGTTTAACAATGCTAGCACAATTGGCTGCAGCCTCAAAGTGAGTGTAAAAGCTCGTCTGCCAGATATTTGTGTACATTTGCTATTCTGGTGGGTGGTAACTTATACTCTATTATCATTCTCAGTCCCTGTTGAAACCATGACTCTAGTTTCCTCCAATAGCGTTGCTTTGCCCTCTTCTCTGCTCTGGCCACACTGTAGGATGAAGCTTTGTACTCGGCCATGTTTCCAGTGGTGCACTATATTATTACATAATGTAGCAAGATTTCAGAGCATCGTGGATGGTTTTCTCCACCCATGGCTTCTGGTTGGGAAAGGTTCTGATGGTGGTTTTGTGGACTGTCAGTCCACCAGCTTCCCAACGTGTTCCAGCCTGCATCATCAAGAGTGTCCTGCAAAAGGGCCACCGTTTGGTCCGTCCAGCGCGTGACCTCCCATGAGATGGCAGCATGGTCTGATTTCCCAAACGTTGGATGAGACTATGCTGTGTAGCCAGCTTTGAACAGAGTGTAAAAATGGTCCAGTGTACTTTTGTCTCTGGTGGGGCAGGTGATGATGTAGATTTGGCATTACATGCTTGAGGTTGGCACTGTTAAAGTCCCCTGCCGTAACAAGCGCAGCATCCCGGGGATGATTCTGGTGTTGGGCGAGAGCCTCATTCAGTTCACATAAGCCTGTTCCTGACACCAGTTCCTGACACCAGTTCCTGACGTGGAGTTGGTTTTGTGAAATGACCCTAATGTTTTTTGGATGTAGCAAGTAAAGGTGGATTTACACTGTTGTGATCTGTCATGATTTAATTTGTCACAATCTTTGATTTTAAATTCTTTGATTTGAGCTAAAGTCGGTGGTCTTTGAAGGTTTATTGTGGCGTTGCTCCACAGTGTGATGTGCTGCCTCTGGAACCAACGATGCCCGGTGGAAAAGTTCTGACAGTTGCTTCAGAATCTCACTGTGTGACTGAAGCTACAACCCACAGCTGAAAACAACCGATAAGGAGCAGCATGGAATGAAGTGTGAGAGAGAAAGAATGAGAAAGTTGGGGCGTTGCCCTCTTTACTGGCCTGAACAGCTTCAAACTTTCCCACTTCACTGTTTAATGCATGTTTTGACTGGCAAAACGTAACACAGAAGGCTTTTTTCTGGTTGTGTGGTAATTTTTTTTCATATTTTATGTGTTACGACCCCTAGTCGTAATATACCTTTTGTGTGCCTTGTGCTGGCATTCTGTTTTCCCTGTTGTGTGTCCCCTTATGTGCACAGGGTTGGCAAGACGGTGGCGCACGGAGGCCGGGCCACCATCTTGGCAGACGTTCAGGGCTTGGAAGACCTGGAAGAACACCTCTCCAGACCGGCCCGGGACTCTTCACACCACTCTTCACTTTCATGCAAGCTTTGTTACACTCTGCAAAACTCGTAAATACTTGGAAGGTAGGGAACAAGTGCCATTTTGGTGGTTTTGGTGGTTACTGTTCCTTCTGGTTTCAAAGCAGGGAGATGGGGTAGCCCTTCGTATTTTGTTTGGTTTGCTTTCAGGTTTAGTTATTTTGGCATATGCTCGTCCCTGAAGCCTTCACTTTCATTTAACGTAACCACTTACAAACTTGCATACTTTTATCAAAGTTTCAATAAATCTGCAGTTTGCTGATTTAAATGGTGTCCAGTGTCTGGTCTGGCACCTGGTCTGAGGAGAGAGCCCACCCTCATTCTCTGTTACGTACTGATGCTAGACCGGGTCGTAACATATGGTAAAAGAGGACAGAATGTCATTTTCCTGCATCGCAGATCTACTGCAATAAAATCTTTATTGTATAATCTGACCTGCAGCATAACTTAAGTTGTGAAGTCTGAAACAGAGTTTGGCCAAGATGGATTGTGATTGTTAGCACTGCACTTACCTGCTGCTCCTTGAGAACAGCCACCACATCACCACGCGACTCAGGGCGAGTTACAACAGCATGAGCTGGAACCTTGGCAAGGTTACACCTGGCGAAGTCTGAGACAGGAACAGGAGCAGAACCTCCAGGGCAGATCAGCTCAAAGTCTGATGATTTCAGTCTGGAAGCCCAGTCTGGACCCTTGCCTAGAGAGAGAATGAGAGACACAAGGGAAAATTTCATAAACTTAAAACTGAAATAAAAACAAATTAAATATGAGACATACAAATGTAAAATACCATTATTATTATTATTATTAATATTAATATTATTATTATTATTATTATTCTTGTTAGAATTTTTTCTCCACTGAAATGAACTGTGCAGATGAAACAGTTTGTCATGTAGACATGAAACTTGGTCAGTAGGTGGTCCTCTTTCCTGCTACCCAGGCCAGTGAGATGAGCTTGAATAGCCTGAAGGGGGCGCCACAGTGCAGCACTTTGCATTTTGCCCTGTAACTCCTGCACCATATGTCAGACTGGAGACATTATTTCTTTCACTGATTCCATCTTTGGACTGTTTAGCTCCGCCCCCTTACAATTTAGGATATTTGCAGTTTGTGCAAATATTGCACAAAGTAACATCTGGATTTTTGCCCACTCTGCACAAATCTGGCCTCGAAAGAATCACAAGGGTCTGATGTTTGATCAGACAAAAGGGGGTGCTATAGCATCAATATACAGTAACATTTCAGTGTTGGGCTTATTTGTGAAATAGTGCTTGGACTCCATCACTTTTGGGTGTACTTATCATTAAGACTCACCATCTGTATTTTCTCCTACAGTACTGTGCCTAACAAAGGCCACATCACCACCACCTTCAACCAGACACCTGTAAGAGGACCAAAAGGTTCAGATACTAAAACTAAAACTGAAAGGGTTTAAGTTTCATTCATGAGTCAGACATTTAGTAATTTAGAATAAAACATGATACTGGGCTTCAGACTGTGAGGAGTGTAATCCTGTTATTTATAGTCATGATATTTGAATGATATTTGTTGTGTATAATGTTATAACTGCTGCTTGTCTGTTTGTATTTGTAATTGTGAATAATGGATCCTTTTATTGCCACAAGACATGTAAATGGTAAACAGTTGAGGTGCATCAAGATGTTATTTAACTCTGTAATACGTATGCAATGCATACGTACACAATAAACAGTAACAATACTATATATATAACACTACAGAAATGAAACTTGGATATATCTTAAAGTAGTCAGTGTACAGCTTGTATAGCAGTATAGATTTACTGTGCTGTGAAAAGAACTCAACACACAGCCATTAATGTCTAAATAGCTGGCAACACAAGTGAGTACACCTCACAGTGAACCTGTCCACATTGTGCTCAAAGTGTCAATATTTTGTGTGCCCACCATTATTATCTAGCACTGCTTTAACCCTCTTGGGCCTGGAATTCACCAGAGCTGCACAGGTTGCTACTGGAAGTCTCTTCCACTCCTCCATGATGACATCACGGAGCTTGTGGATGTTAGACACCTTGTGCTCCTCCTCCTTCCGCTTGAGGATTCCCCACAGGTGCTCAGTTGTTTTAGGTCTGGAGACGTACTTGGCCAGTCCATCACCTTTACCTTCAGCAAGGCAGTTGTCATCTTGGAGGTGTGTTTGGGGTCGTTATTGTGTTAGAAAACTGCCATGTGGCGCAGTTTCCGAAGGGAGGGGATCGTGCTCTGCTTTAGAATGTCACAGTACATGTTGGAATTCATGTTCCCCTCAATGAACCGCAGCTCCCCAGTGCCCCAGACCATGATGCTACCACCACCCTGCTTGACTGTAGGCAAGAGACAGTTGTCTTGGTACTCCTCACCAGGGCGCCAGCACACATGCTGGACACCATCTGAGCCAAACAAGTTTATCTTGGTCTCGTCAGACCACAGGACATGGTTCCAGTGATCCATGTTCTTGGACTGCTTGTCTTCCGCAAACTGTTTCTGTGCTTTCATGAGCGTCAGCTTCAGAAGAGGCTTCCCTCTGGGACGACGGCCATGCAGACCGAGTTGAAGCATTGTGCGGCGTATGGTCTGAGCACTGACAGGCTGACCTCCCACTTCTTCAACCTCTGCAGCAATGCTGGTAGCACTCATGTGTCTATTTTTCGAAGCCAACCTCTGGATATGACGCTGAACACGTGGACCTATATTGTCGACCCTGGTGAGGCCTGTTCCGAGTGGAACCTGTTCTGGAAAACCGCTGTATGACCTTGGCCACTGTGCTATAGTTCAGTTTCAGGGTGTTAGCAGTCTTCGTATAGCCTAGGCCGTCTTTGTGGAGAGCAACAATTCTATTTCTCACATCCTCGTGATGAATATCCAGTGGCCAGTATGAGAGAATTGTACCCAAAACACCAAATTTAACATCCCTGCTCCCCATTCACACCTGGAACCTTGTAACTGTAACGAGTCACATGACACCAGGGAGGGACAACGACACAATTGGGCACAATGTGGACAGGTTCACTGGGAGGTGTACTCACTTGTGTTGCCAGCTATTTAGACATTAATGGCTGTGTGTTGAGTTGTTTTCACAGCACAGTAAATCTATACTGCTATACAAGCTGTACACTGACTACTTTAAGTTACATCCAAGTTTCATTTCTATAGTGTTTCCCATGAAAAGATATAATAAAATATTTGCATAAATGTAAGAGGTGTACTCAATTTTGTGAGATACTGTATAAATATCTAATATATATACACACATTTGTTGTGTATATCTGGAAGATATATGTCAAAAGGCTGAGGTTGTGATGTTTATTTCCCCCCCTTTTTCTCTTGAGTGGTTTATACGTCTTAATCTAACCATTAGTAGGAAGGCTACAAAAGCGGTTAGAGTAGCATTCCTCAGAGGGAGAGAGAGGGTGATATTGTGGCCCACCGACCAAGAATTCTGTTTTGATAAAGAGTAGGATTTTAAAGAAATCCTCAAAAATATATATTTTGTGAAAAGCTTAATTTCTCCATTTATTTTTCTATATTGTTAAAGTTTTGCACGTTTGCACTGCACCAATAAACACTCTTGCTCTGAATGTGCTATTTTGGGCTGCCCATATTCTTTGGACACCTACAGCCTTGAGACGGTCTACACTTTCCTCACTATCCTCACTTTTCTGTTTGCACGCTAATATCAGTTGTTGCACTATTACGCTCTAATACACTATATTGCCGAAAGTATTTGCTCGTCTGCCTTCACACGCATATGAACTTGAGTGACATCCCATTCTTAATCCACAGGGTTTAATATGATGTCGGCCCACCCTTTGCAGCTATAACAGCTTTAACTCTTCTGGGAAGGCTTTCCACAAGGTTTAGGAGTGTTTATGGGAATTTTTGCGCATTTGTGAGGTCACACACTGATGTTGGACGAGAAGGCCTGGCTCGCAGTCTCTGCTCTAATTCATCCCAAAGGTGTTCTGTCGGGTTGAGGTCAGGACTCTGTGCAGGCCAGTCAAGTTCTTCCTCACCAAACTCGCTCATCCATGTCTTTATGGACCTTGCTTTGTGCACTGGTGTGCAGTCATGTTGGAACAGGAAAGGGCCGTCCCCAAACTGTTCCCACAAAGTTGGGAGCATAAAATTGTCCAAAATCTCTTGGTCTGCTGAAGCACTAAGAGTTCCTTTCACTGGAACTAGGGGCCGAGCCCAACTCCTGAAAAACAACCCCACACCATAATCCCCCTCCACCAAACTTTACACTTGGCACAATGCAGTCAGACAAGTACCGTTCTCCTGGCAACCTGAGCGACATTTGCCACATGGGAGTCATCAGAGCTCCATCTCTGTTGGCTGATCTGCACCGTTTCAACCACCATGGAGCTTCACGCTGTACAAAGCTGTGCAAACCTCACCTGCATGAACTGACCCTCCTGATACTGCTGCATAAACTCAAACTATCTAATTAACCATTGCTCCACCTGCTTTCCCCGTTTTGTATTCTAATATTTTATACTAACGCTGTTTGCTATCCCCTGAGTTTTTCCTTGCCACTGTCGCCATTGGCGACGCTCATGTGGGCTCAGACCAGGATTTTTCTGTAAAGCTGCTTTGTGACAACACCTGTTGTAAAAAGCGCTACATAAATAAACTTTGACTTGACTTGACTAGAGCTCAGGGTGACAGTGCCATATCTTTTAAACAGACTACATTTTATATTTTCCCCCAATATGTTAAGCTCAATAAATGAAAAATAGCTGTTGTAAAATAAAAAGTACAATAAAAAAGGATAATAAAATAGTAAAGTGTGCGGAAATGTGCCTAAACCTTTGCATACGACGCAGTATTATTCACTGTCTGAATAAAACCTTGTATCTACATGTAAATTTTTCATAAAATTTTAAATGCCATCTGCTCTTTATAATGTGGTAAACGTCATGATAATGCAGTAATAGAAATGAACAGATAGAAAGTTTAGATAATAGAAAGTTTTCTTCTTCTTGCTCGTATTGATAAGACAGCGTTGTCTGACTACAGATTATACAGGCTATAAATATTAATGTCATTTGAAAGAATATACATTTTTCATGAAAATCATACCTAAATGTTCCAGCATAGCCGTAGTAAAGCTCCTCTGTGCTGGGCTTGCATCTGACTCTCTCGCTCCTGACACCTTTACCGCTGCCTTTGCACAGAGCGCAGAGATTGGACTCAGGATCAGCACCAGGAGCACAACTCTGACTGAAGTACTTAGCTTTGGAATCAGAACAGAGACAAAAGTCATTCAGAGAAAATAAAATACACAAAATAACGCCAACAGATAAATACAGGATTATCTAAAGACACAGGCTGTTGAAACAATGAGTGCGTATACATTCACTCAATAATCTGATCATAATCAGATTTCTGCAGTTATCCGATTAGTCAAATGGTCATGTAAACACCATACTCCGATCTAGATATCTGATTAAGAAATCTGATAAAGAGGCTGGATTTCAGCTCAGTAATCAGATTTCTCAGTGCATGTAAACTCTTACTCAGATTTCTTTCGGATTTCTCAGTCTGCATTAGATCAGACGGTGGATGTCGCGAGACGCAGCAAAACACTTTTGAAGAGGCGCTGAAACCAAACCCAAAATAAAGGATTTTAATATTCTTCATCTTCTAGATGATGTATGTTCATATTTTCAGGTAAAGTGGGGCGATGTTTAAAAAAAAGCCGCGGTAGGAAGTTTGAGTTTTACATTACGTTTCCGTCACATCTTCTTCTGTGAGTTTATTGGCTGATTGTAAAGCAGAAATCCAATTCATGTAGACCCCGAGTTTCCCCATTATCTGATCACTCAGGAGCATGTAAACGTGTTGATCGGATTACTGACAAAATTTGATTTTCTGCAGTTATTGGATTATTGCGTGCACGTAAACACACTCAATGTTGGTTTTCCTTTACTATAAAATATTTTATCCGAGCTCTCGTTTATCAAAGCATGCATGAAAACATATTCTATACCTGTGCAAAAGAACCAGCAGTACACACAAAAAACTGGCATTTATCAAATGTCCTTTCTATACACCCCAAATAGCTATATGTGGTAAATGAATTCCCTTTGAACATCCACAGTAGCGTATGATGCAGATGACAAGTTGAATATCTTTTTTGCAGTTGCTACCTGCAAAATATGAGGTTACTTGGATGTAAAAGTACAACTTTCCATTCTAACAACTGTCTCTTCCATTTAGATGATTTCAAGATGTAAGTATAAGAAACAGAAAGTGAGTAAAACTCACAGAAGTCACATTGTCCGGTGCTGTTGTGGAGGAGGGCCATGGGGATGTTCCAGCCTGCGGTGCGGCCCAGGCTGTTGTGGCAGGACTTTTTGCCTTTGAGATTGTTCCAGGTCACTCCAGAGCCTTTACGCACTACAGCCACTGCGTAGTAGGAGGAGGCATCTGAGGAGAGCATGAGTCACAGTACTAGAGCTGCATGATATAGACAAAATATCAGTGTTGTGATTATATTGCTGTACTGCAGTTGTAAGCTGTGGTGATTCTGATTATTTATTTATTGATTGATTGATTGATTAATTGATGGGGCCACAGTTCCTTTTCAGGGCCAGATAAATGCCTTCAAATTTACCCTAATTACCTCATCATACCTCTAAAAACAACTGTTTAAAGAGAACACTTTAATAAGCATCAACCTTTCTGCAAATGTTAATGCACGATTACTTTATAAGCTTGATTAAAAAGGATGTATATTTAACTTTTCGTAGCCAGCTAGAAGTCATTAATGGTGGATTTTGAGGTATGTTTTAGATCATTATTCTGTTGTAGAATCCAGCCCCTTTTCAGCTTCAGTTTCCTGACTGACTGTGTCATATTTGCTTCCAGAATGTGCTGATATGTTGTGGAATCCATTCCTACATCTACTCGTGCAATATTTCCTGTGCCACTGGCCATCACACAACTCAAAGCATAATAGATCTACCCCCCTGCTTAACAATTGGCACGGCGTTCCTTTCATCAAATGTTTCTTCTTTTTTCTCCAAACATACTTTGGCTGATTGTGGCCAAAGATGATTTTTTTACCTTCATCCGTCCACAGCACTTGTTTAAGAATACCTCTGGATTATTTAGATGTTTTGGATACTTTAGATTGAGATGTTTGTGATGAGGCCACAGGTACTGACTCTTCCAAGCAGATGCTGTTTTTGCTGCACAGTAGAATGATGTATCACCACTCCTCAGCTCTTCCTGCAGGTCCTTTGCTGTCATATGGGGGTTTTGCTTTGCCTTTCTGGCCAGCATATGAGCTCCAGATCTTGCCTTAACAGCCATTTCTTAATGTTATTTCACATGGTGGAAAATGAGAGCTGAAAGTGCAGAACTACTGTTCTATTTTTTTTAATTAATCAAGTATAAATTGTGCATTAACATTTGCAGAAATTATATTTCAATAGTCTGCTGCAGAGGCTGTTTCCTTTTTTTCACTTTTAAAAGCAACAGGGGTGTCCATACTTCAGAATGTTTTACATTCAGTAGAAGGCATGATAAAATATCAGTCGCAAATCTAACCAGTACCAGGTGATTTTATTGTTAAATACCTATTGCTTACCATGCAAAGGTCAATGTGAGTGGCATATTAATCATTCCAAACGGCAAATTTTGCTAAAACATGGCAGGTTTGTGTATCTGTCAGTAGTGTGGGTGGTAAATGATAGGACAGGGCCACTTGAGGGGCAAATCTGGCCAGTGCTGGGGCCATTGCCTGTAACTTTCAGGTGTGATTGTTGTGGAATCCATGAAAAAACAAGTCATAGAAAACAAACGAACAAATACAACCCCATTTCCAAAAAAGTTGGGACGCTGTGCAGAATGTAAATAAAAATAGAATGCAATGATATGAAAATTATGTAAACCATATTTTTATAGGAAAATACTACAAAGACAATATATTAAATGTTGAAACTGAAGAATTTTATTGTTTTTGGAAATTTTTAACCTTTTTTGAATTTAATGCCAACAGTACGTTCCAAAAAAGTTGTGACGGGGCATGTTTACCACTGTGTCTCATCACCTCTCCTTTTAACAACACTCTGTAGGCGTTTGGGAACTGAGGAGACACTGCTGGAGTTTAAAAACTCATACCACACACACTAACACACCACCACCACGTCAGTGTTACTGCAGTGCTGAGAATGATCCACCACCCAAATTGTACCTGCTCTGTGAGGGTCCATGGGGGTCCTGACCACTGAAGAACAGGGTAAAAGGGGGCTAACAAAGTATGCAGAGAAACAGATGGACTACAGTCTGTAACTGTAGAACTACAAAGTGCACCTATATAGTAAGTGGAGCTGATAAAATGGACAATGAGCATAGAAACAAGGAGGTGGTCATAATGTTATGCCTGATCAGTGTATTTATGTGCTTGATAAAAATCTTGCAAAATTTGGTTTGCGTTGGTTTCTGGGGAGGTATTACAATGCTAATGCACAGAAATCTGAACAGTTTTTCCCTTGGAGCTGCTTTTTTAACTATACAGACATTAAGCGTTTTTGATTTATGGCTATTTTCAGTGCTTGGACCCATGCATTGCTACTTATGGCTATATTTATACTATATTTACAATTAAGTCTTGTGAAATATCCCTAAATGTGAAGAAAATGCGATGTAAACAAAACTTGTGTTAGCTACATTAGCCTCATAGCTCCAGTGCCACAACTAAAGAGTCAAACTTCAGACAGCAAATGGCTTGACTACATATGGGGTAAGGCCAGATTGTGAACACTTGAGTTTTGGCAAACCGTATCTTTACATGTGTAACAGAAAAATAAATAACACTTTATTTTAAGTAAACTTACTTTAGTAGAATTCGCCAAAATTAGTTCTAAAAGAGAATACAATTGAACGTATATTTTGATGGGCGCACAGCGACACCCGCTGGTCAGAGGGAGTATTGCGTATTTTATAAAGCAGCTTCCTACTATATCCGGTTCAGTCCGGTTTTCCCACTGAAGAGATATGGTAGGCTCAGACGTCTTCTCCTCTCTATTTAAGTATTTATGAGTTTTGTTGGTTTACTTTCAGGCAATAATCAGTACGTTGAAGTTTTTATTGGTATTGCTTCGTTTGTGTTATTGAAAAGGTTGCTAAGTACGAGCTGTATGAATGCTACATTGAACTGATGTGATTTCTTTGGTGCCTTATAGCTGTTAGAGTCGAGAAGCACAATACTGACTAGCTGCTCTATTTCCTCTGATTATACTCTAACAGGCTCCAGCAGACGTGACTCCAGTAAAAGCTCAGAACCAACTTCTTGTTACACTAATACAGCTCAACACTAAAGTGGTCTCCTTCTACCATTTCTATCTTTAATTCATTCTTCAAGATGTTAGAGTGAAGGTGGGGAACATGATGAGGATTTACTTACCACTTCCCAAAGTGCACTTTGCTGTTGAGAGCGAAAAACAAAAGCGAACAGTTAGCTGCCATGTTTAGAGACAAACAGGGGAAACAAGTATTAAGACACTTTTGTGATTTAATGTACTTCCAGTGCATACATCTACTTCACATTTACAACCCTATTTCCAAAAAAGTTGGGACGCTGTGAAAAATGTAAATAAAAACAAAATACAATGATGTGCAAATCATTTAAACTCTATATTTCATTACAAAATGCTTCAAAGACAACATATCAAATGTTGAAACTGAGAAATTTTATGACACAATAAGGAGATATTACCAAAGCAGTTCTGCGGCTCTAAAAATCTCAGATCCTGAAGACGTTTTCCACTCTTCCCTCTTATTACCTGCATGTGTCGTTGGTGAATATTTGTCTAATAAAGCACTGCAGCGATTGGGCTGGATAATGAGGTTAGTGCAGCTCACACTCTGGCTAAAGCTTTGGGAAATACAAACTGAAACTGGGGAGTGACGACACCCTGTTAAACAGCACAGGGCCAAATTCGGTCAGATTTGGTCTAACTGGCTAGTATATATAAGACCACGGCAACCAGAACTTATGTAGGTTTTTTTATGATCTAACTTTTTAATTCCTCACCTCTTAATTAAAAAATACGCTTCCCCTTTTATAACGTAAATAGTTTTTTAAGGAGCTAATCTGAAGGGAAAATGTTCAAGTTTTTATTTGGTAAAACCACCCTCCCCCTTTTTCTTTTTTTATTTGTATTTTTTAGTCATTTATTTACTTTTTCCCTTCTTTCTTTTCCTCTTCCTTTATAACGATCATTGATATAGACGGTATTATCAAAATGTGTTTATCATAAGAAAAGCAAACATCAGGAAAAGAGGATTGTGTGTATGTATGTATTTATGTATTTGTGTATATAGGTATATAAAAGCATACAAGCATTGAAAGTAAAGCAGCTAAATAGGCCCATAATGGAACTGTCCTTAGATAGTCATAATTGTGCTAATTGAAGTACTGTTACAATTGTTTGATATAATGTGAATTTTGTACTTTCTTCTACGTTCTTTTCAAAAGATTTTCCCCAATAAAAAGAAGAAAAAAAAAAGCACAGGGCGCATTCATAATAATAACTTCTAACTTTGAATCATTTTTTACAATCAGGTATTCACACTTTAGTTTTGTTTTGACTTTTACATCGATAGTTGTTTAGCTAACTTTGATTTTTATTATTTTGATTATGTGTTTACATTTCAGCTGTGCGTGTCACCAGTTGCTTGGTAACAGCCAAAAATTTGACCTCGATTATGTAGTTTAGGATTTCCTATCTTGAGAAGATAAGATTCTGTAAGATAAGTTCCCGAAATTAAGATTTGCTTCTGTAATACGAATTTGTGAAAAACCTAATCTTGACATTGTCAGATCTTAACTCAGGACAAAAGATAGGAAGTTTCTGTAATACAATTTATCTGAAGGCTTGTACTTATGTATTTATTTTCCATTTCCAGAAAAGTTGGGACATTTCAGAAAATGCAATAAAAAATTATTTTTTTCAAAGCTTTATTAAACTGACAAAATTACACAGAAAAATGTTCCAATGTTTTCACTGATCAACTTAATTGTATTTTGAAAATATAAACAAATTCAGAATTTGATGGCTGCAACACACTCAGGCATGTTTACCACTGTTACATTACCGTTCCTTGCATTCACACTTTTTAATCATTTGGGAACTGAGGATACTAATTTTTGCAGTTTTGCAAGTGGAATTTTTGCCCATTCTTGCTTGATATAAGATGTCAGCTGCTCAACAGTCTGTGGTCACCATTGTCTGATTCTTCTCCTTATGATATGCCATACATATTCAAAAGGAGGCAGATCTGGACTGCACACAGGCCAGTCAAGCACACACACTCTGTGTCTAGTAAGCCACACTGTTGTAGTGAGTGCAGGATGAGGCCTGGCATTGTCTTACTACAATAACCATGGACTTCCCAGGAAAAGATGTCGTATGTCCCTTTCGTCTTTGGCAAGGAGGATTCCTTCCTAACCCTACAATTCGACATCCATTTTCCCAAAAACAAGCTAAAACACGGATTAATCCGACCAGAGCACACATTTCCACTCTCTTAGCTTGGGCCCAGAGAACTCAGCGGCGTTTCTGCATAGAATTGATGTACGTCTTTCTCTTTACATAACAGAGCTTCAAGTTGCATTTCTTGGTGCAGCCACGGACTGTGTTCAGTGACAGCAGTTTCCCAAAATACTCCTAAGTCCATGTGGCTCTATTTAACACAGTAGAATGACTGTTTTTCATGGTATGCCATCTGTGGGCTCAAAGGTCATGCATATTCAACAGTGGTTTCCAGCCTTGCCCTACACTGAGTGAGATTTCTCCGCATTACTAATCAGAATCAGATTCACTTCATTTCACCAGGTGTGTTACACATACAACGAATTTGTCTTGGTGAGTAAACACATGTATGACGTAACATACTGAACAGACAACAGAACACAGACTAGTAACAAGTATTTCTGTGAGGGACAAATAAAAATACAATAAATAAGCTAAAGAGGTGTGAGGTCTAAAGAGGTCTGAATGTCTGTACATATGCAGATATGAGTATCTATACATTTGAATGTGTATACCAGAGGTCACTAATAGGCGGATCACGGTCAGAGTCTGGATCCAGACGCTATCGTATGCGGACCTGCACCTATAACCGATAAATTATGGAGAATTCTTTAATTTAATTTCCTATTTTAATCTGCGTAATATTTCTAGTCATTGCGGTAGGTTTAGTGGCCCGGGAGACTGACAGACCAATCGCATACGCTGTAAATATCACACGTGACGCTACTCAGCTAATCAGATCTGTGCATTACGATGAGCACTGAGACTCAAGTGAGTGATGCGCACACAGGGGAGGGACGAGGAGAGAAACAGCAGTCGGAGAAGAAAGTCAGAGGGAAGTTATTTTACATGTCGTTCTCTAAAAAGAAAACTGACAAATGTTGTTGAAATATGACTGAACTGTACTTTATTTCATTTGACATTCAGTTGTTGACTGTATAAGATGTTGATATACCTACTCGGCTTCAGGAAACAGTATATGGCACTGAATCATGCAAGTTAGACGTTATGATGTTCTGGACCTTTGCTTGAGGAAATTTTCTCTAACTGGACCTTATTGAATTTTAATTAAATACCCCTGGTCTATACATATGGGGGTTTGAGTAAACATATAATACTATTCTAAACAGAACATTACAGGATGATATGAGTATTTGTAAATACTAAAAAATAAATTGTTTAGTTGTGCAAATTGCATTAAGTTGTAGATGAGTTATGCTGTAAATCAGTAAGGGAAGTTCGTTAGGTTCCATTTAGTTTAAAGTGCAAGGTCTCCACTGTGACCGATGAGTGCTACAGCTCTGGTTAAAACGCTGTTAGCCTGTCTGATTGTGCTGGCTTTGATAGCCCTGAAACTTCTACCAGATGGAAGTAGCTGGAAGAGGTGATGTCCAGGCTGAGAGGGGTCAGTGGTTGCCAGCACGCTTCTTCACCCTGCTGTTCCAGATGTCCTGAAGGTGAAAGGACCAAACCACATTGTTATGGATGATTTGAGGATGTACTTGATGACCGCTGTGTAGAACAGGATCATCAGACTCTGGGGCAGGTTGAATTTCCTTTAGCTGTCTCAGGAAGAACATTCTCTGCTGCGTTTTCTTGGTGATGGTGATGGAGACCGTGTTATTCTCCTACTTCAGGTCCCTGGATAGAGTGGTGCAGCAGGTGGTTGGCTATAAGGCCCACCATGGTGGTGTCATTCAAGATTTTCGCAGCTGGTTCCTTGGTGACAGGCATTGGTGAAGAGACTGAAGAGAAGGGGTGAAAGCACACAGTCTTGTGGAACACTAGTACTGAGGATCCAGAGTATAATCCATGATCCACCAGCAGATGGGATCGGACGTCGACAGGTGACATCACGGTGTCTGTGTATCCAAAATGTTCCCTGCTCTTGTGGCATGAGCAACACGTTGTCTGTATTTGGGCATTTCCTTCGTTAGACTGGCACTGTTAAAGTCTCCCATAAGGATGAGCAGTGAGTCTGGATTCTGCCTTTCTACTTACATTATCTGTCAGCCAGCAGTTCCTGCGCAATGCTCGTGTGCCCATCTGGCAGAATGTAAACAGCAACCAAAATGAAAACAGAAAACTATGTGGGAGCATAGAATGGTGGCATGTGACTGTAGATGAGGAGAGCATGATTTTAACAGACGTCTTTACACCTGAATCATTTCACAGCATTATGTGTGGTAGATGGTGAAAGACCTAAATTCTTTGCCATTGTAATGTGCCAACCAGAATCAGATGCTCGCGGATGGAAAACACAAATTATGCTTTACTGTGAGATTCAGAATCCAGAGTCGTGGCCACAAAACAGACAGGGGTCAAATCCAACAGGCATAGCAAGTACAAACAGATGAACACCCACAAGGCACTGTCCAAAAGGGAGAGGCAAAAAGGCAAAAGGTCAAAAACAGGAATCAGTCGATAAGTGCAAACAATCCAAGGGCCAAAGCAAAAGGCAGAGTCAAGAGAACAAAAGGCAAGGGTCAAAAACAGGATGCAAACAATACACAGACCACTCAGTAGGTCACAAACAGATACAATACCTCACAACTATCTAAGTCTAAAGCCCGGGCTTATAAACTAAATTAAATAGGTCATATGACCAACAACACATGTGACAAACATTAGTCCTCTGGAGATCTAGAGTGCTGACTGGAGCACATGGTCATATCAGTAGTCAGGTGATCTCCCGGGGCATTCTGGGAGATGGAGTCCATGTGAGTGATTGTGAAGGAAAGTCGAAAGTCATGTGATCTCCCAGAGGAGTCTGGGAGATTGAGTCCGAATCCAACTTGGGACTCGGTGGATGTGTGACAGCAATGTTGTGTAGAGACATGTTCTTTTCAAACTGTTTGACAGGCCTCGTACAAAGTTTGGCACAAAGTGGTGAGTCACGACCCATATTTGCCTTTGGTGGACGCTCCTTTTATACCCAACAATGATACGATCGCTATTACCAATTCACCTGCCTACTGTGGAATTTTACGAAATGGGGTAACTTGAATATTCTATCAAATCTAGGATATTTTATAGAATTTTCAAGTTACACCATTTTGTTTTTTGAGTATGTTGTTTATATTTACAATATACATTCAAGTTGATCAGTAAAAACATTGTCATCTCTTTGTTATTTTTTAAGTTAGAACGTTTTTTGAATACGCTGATTGAGTGTAAGATGAAAAAAATATGAAAACAAATAAAAGTTGATGTTCCTCACATTCATCATACTGCTCCACCATGGCTGGGACAAGGCCACACTTCCCCGCAGTATACACCTGTCCTCCATCGATGGCCATGGCATCAGCCTCTTTACGCTGCACAAAGGAGTGAAAGAGGGAATGACAGATTACCGTGCTTGGTTCGGTGAAAGGAACCAATTTTCTGAGACCATTATGGATATTGTCAGTTCTTAAAGAATGCTAACAAAGTACATGTTTCAATACAAAGAGAGTATAATTAATGCTGTTTAATTGGATTGCACTAAACAAAGCTATTCACAGATGCTAAATGTGGCACTATTGGTTCTTTCTTTCTGTTCCAACATATCAGAAAAATTAAATATTGTGATGTACACCGACAGGCATAACATTATGACCACCTCCTTGTTTCTATTCTCATTGTCCATTTTATCAGCTCCACTTACTATATAGCTGCACTTTGTAGTTCTACAGTTACAGACTGTAGTCCATCTGTTTCTCTGCATACTTTGTTAGCCCACTTTTACCCTGTTCTTCAGTAGTCAGGACCCCCATGGACCCTCACAGAGCAGGTACTATTTGGGCGGTGGATCATTCTCAGCACTGCAGTAACACTGATGTGGTGGTGGTGTGTTAGTATGTGTTGTGCTGGTCTGAGTGGATCAGACGCAGCAGTGCTGCTGGAGTTTTAAAACACCTCAGTGTCGCTGCTGGACTGAGAATAGTCCACCAACCAAAAATATCCAGCCAACAGCGTCCTGTGGGCAGCGTCCTATGGCCACTGATGAAGGACTAGAGGATGACCAACACAAACTGTGCAGCAGCAGATGAGCTACAGTCTCTGACTTTACATCTACAAGATGGACTAACAAGGTAGGAGTGTCTAATAGAGTGGACAGTGAGTGGACACAGTGTTTAAAAACTCCTGCAGCACTGCTGTGACTGATCTACTCTTACCAGCACAACACACACACTAACACACCACCACCACGTCAGTGTTACTGCAGTGCTGACAATGATCCACCACCCAAATAGTACCTGCTCTGTGAGGGTCCATGGGGGTCCTGACCACTGAAGAACCTATATAGTAAGTAGAGCTGATAAAATTGACAATGAGCGTAGAAACAAGGTCATAATGTTATGCCTGATTGGTGTATATTGTGTATCAAGAAAATGTCGAAGTATCGTGGTCATGTTTCTAAAATATTTCATATCATCATATAATTAGTAGAAATACTAATTTTGACTTATTTTCCTGAAAGAACAGACTCCCAAACTACTGGAAACAAATGTATGACAAAACGTAATGCACAGTGTTTGTAGCATAGCCAGTAACAAAAATTAAATAAAGAAAATTAAGTTGATAGAAATGCTTGTGAATTAAACTTTTAATTGAAATTCTGAGTGATACAGTTATTTGATTTGATCTAAGTGTGCATATAATCTGGTATTTGATTGCACAAGGTAAACAAATCCTCCAAAAACACAAAGAATCTTTGGGGTCCCCTGGTGGAAGGCCTGACTACAAGGTGACCCATATATATGTGGACAAAAGTATTGGGACACAACTCCTAATTATTGAGTTCAGGTGTTTCAGCTACACCCATTACTAACAGGTGGATCAAATTAAGCTCGTAGTCTTGCAGTCTCCATAGACAAACACTGGCAGTAGAGGGTCGTACTGAAGAGCTCAGTGACTTTCAACATGGCTTTGTCATAGGACGCCACCTCTGCCACAAGTCAGTTTGTAAAATTTCTGTCCTGCTAGATCTGCCCCAGACAACTGTAAGTGCTATTTTATGACATGGAAGCACCTTGGAGCAACAACAGCTCAGCCATGAAGCGGTAAGTCACACAAACTCACACAGCAGAGCCGCGGAGTACTGAAGCACATAGTCAGTGTGTCCCATTTCAGGGGCTGCGTCCTTCAGAGGCTGCATTTGAAGGCCGATTGCGACTAGGCTGTCCCATTTCAAAGGCTCCTTCATATGCGACCGACAAATGTGTTCTTCTTTTCTATGGCAACGAAGGATCCAATGGGTGGATCCTTCGCCAGCCAACATACCCCGAGGTTCATTGCATGCTGGCAAGGATTTGAGAACATGGTGGCATCAACAGAGAAGCAAATAGTGGCCGAATATTAGTTTCGGGTTTAAACTGAGGCGAATGGCTAACGTTTTTTTACAAATATAAAAACAATAACAACAAAAAAAAAGCTCTCTCATCAGTAGCCGGTGGGGAAGCCTCTCTAGCTCTAATGAATGAAGAAATAAACAACAAAAATCTAAGTTTTTGGCTTCATCTTTAAAGAACTTTAAAATAACTTGACAAGCGGTGTTTCGTGGAACAAAGGTAAGGATGGGAACAGTGGTGCTGTGATGCAAACAGAAAACCTGCCGTAGGGCAGACCACCTCATTTCAGTTCAGCCTTTGCGGGTCTAAGCAGCCTTTGAAGGACACGTCTTTGTAGACTGCGTCCTTCGAAGGATCCAGCCCCTGAATTGGAACACACTGACTGTCTATCCTCTGTTGAATCTCACACTAAAGACTTCCAAATGGCCTCTGGAAGCAACTTCAGCAAAAGAACTGCACTTTAGGAGCTTCACAAAATGGATCTCCATGGCTGAGCAACTGCACACACGCCTAAGACCAAAATGCACAATGCCAAGCACCAGATGGAGTAGTGTAAAGCGCTACCACTGGACTCTGGAGCAGTGGAAACGTTTTCTGTGGAGTGATGAATCACACTTCTCTATCTGTCAGTCTGATGGACGAGTCTGGGTTTTGGCGAATGCCAGGAGAACGTTACCTGCCTGACTGCACTGTGCCAGCTGTAAAGTTTGGTGGAGGAGGGATGATGCTATGGGGTTGTTTTTCAGGGGTTGGTCTAGAACCCTTAGTTCCAGTGAAGGGAAATCTTAATGCTTCAGCACCAAGACATTTTGGACAATTCTGTGCTTCCAACTTTGTGGGAACAGTTTGGGGAAGAACCTTTTCTGTTCCAGCATGACTGAGTCCCAGTGAACAAAGCAGCTCCATAAAGGCCTGACTGGGTGAGTTTGGTTTGGAAGAACTTGACTGGCCCTCACAGAGCCCTGACCTCAACCCCATCAAACACCTTTGGGATGAACTAGAATGGAGATTGTAAGCCAGACCCTCTCGTCCTACATCGGTGTCTGACCTCTCAAATGCTCTTCTGGATGAATGGGCAAAAATTCCCACAGACACTCTCCAACATCTTGTAGAAAGCTTCCCAGAAGAGTGGAAGCTGTTAGAGCTGCAAAGGGGACCAACTCTATTTCAAAGCCTATGGATTTAGAATGGGATTCGTAAAAGCTCCTGTAGGTGTGATGTGTTGGTGTCCCAATACCTTTGTGTATATACTGTTAGGATACAGGTTAACAGGCTGACCTGCTTAGCAGTAGTGCTAACCTATTCAGCTTGGCACTGGACTTGCCTCAAATGGAATCCAGCCTGCATCATTAAACACGCATACGTACCTGTAAAAAGCAATTAAGGTGTTAGACAATATGATAAACGACTACATGATAAACGACTACACGATAAACGACTGATTCTCGACAGAATCTTACCAATGAACAGCGTACATCATATACTGTGTAATGTGGCACTGCAGAAAGGAGATGTTCATGCAAGAAAAATAATCTCACAACAAACAATGTTTACTATGGCAAAGATGTTAACTTATACACTGATCAGCCATAACATTATACATCTCTGCATACTTTGTTAGCCTCCTTTTGCCCTTTTCTTCAGTGGTCAGGACCCCCATGGACCCTCACAGAGCAGGTACCATTTGGGTGGAGGGTCATTCTCAGCACTGCAGTAACACTGAGGTGGTGGTGGTGTGTTAGTGTGTTGTGCTGGTCTGAGTGGATCAGACACAGCAGTGCTGCTGGAGTTTTTAAACACCTCAGTGTCACTGCTGGACTGAGAATAGTCCACCAACCAAAAATATCCAGCCAACAGCGTCCTGTGGGCAGCGTCCTGTGACCACTGATGAAGGACTAGAGGATGACCAAACACAAACTGTGCAGCAGCAGATGAGCTACAGTCTCTGACTTTACATCTACAAGGTGGACTGACAAGGTAGGAGTGTCTAATAGAGTGGACAGTGAATGGACACAGTGTTTAAAAACTCCAGCAGCACTGCTGTGTCTGATCCACTCGGACCAGCGCGACACACACTAACACACCACCACCACATCAGTGTCACTGCAGCGCTGAGAATGATCCACCACCCAAATAGTACCTGCTCTGTGAGGGTCCATGGGGGTCCTGACCACTGAAGAACAGGGTGAAAGGGGGCTAACAAAGTATGCAGAGAAACAGATGGACTACAGTCTGTAACTGTAGAACTACAAAGTGCACCTATATAGTAAGTGGAGCTGATAAAATGGACAATGAGCGTAGAAACAAGGAGGTGGTCATGATGTTATGCTTGATCGGTGTATGCTAATTGGCTAGCATTAACGCTTCCTAGCTAGCTAACATTACATGGGAGAACAGGTTTTCAATGTGGTAATTTTAAAATCAGCTACTGACACATCAACATAGTATTTCACTTTACATTGTGGTGCACTTATTGGTGCTAGTGCTTGGTGACCGTATCCTCGCCTAAACAGTAAAAATTAACATAATAAAGCTGCTTATACAGTAAGATGAAGGGAAAATTATAACTGAAGTCATACAGTTTGATCTCACTGCTGTGTTATTAGGTTTTCATAAGACTTCTGATGTGTTTTAGTGAATAATCTTCCATTATCTGTTAGCCTTTTATAGGATGAGGCGACATTTAATATTGTATAGCACCACCTGCTGCTCGTCTTGGGCGATTCTTATATATGCACATTTCAACAGTGGACATCAGTCAGTCAATCAGTCAGTCAGTGACTCAGCAAGAGACATCGACTCCTGTATGCTGGCCAAAAAATCTAGTTAGTTATCTAACCTTTTCTAAATTTTTTTCCATCTTTTAACACTTTAAGGAATAGCTTTATAAAATGAAGGTCAATGCAACATGACACTGTATTGATCCAATACACTTTTGGACTGGGCATATTTACAGTTTATCAAAAGGTGAGAAATCTAATGTGGAACACTATTAAAATTAAGAAAATGACTCACGACTCAAAACAGTTCTGAAGGCCTCCCTACCGGAGAACTTGTAGAGAGGAGAATTAGTGCTCTGCAATGTCTGGTTTCTCAAACACTAGAGGGCGCTCCTCAAAATGAATGGGTTGATATGGAGCCTTTGATCAAAATCACAGTTTATAAATGCTTAAAAAAAAAATGTATGTAAAAGTATACATTCATTTCCTGAACACAGAACAGCATAAAACATTTTAACACTGCTGTTATATTTTTAAGAGCAGTGCTGCTAATGTGGATGCAGTGCATTAAAAGGTATGGAATTTAGTCTTTGTTGTTGTTTGTTTTTCAGGAAATTCTTTTTACATGGTGTCGTTTTCTCAGAAAGCTGCCTGGAAAACTAGCAGCTTCTAAAGCAGCGTTTTCTTTGACTGCTTGCTTATTAGCTAGCGAAGTAATGTAAGTAGACTAATAAGAATGCTGGCTATTAAACAACATCATTTGCAACAAACTAGTAATAAACATAATGGTAACAATATGCTTTCAGTGTGACATGAATTATGAACACATCAAAGTACACATGGGCCTACATATTAGACAAATCTTATAGTACAACCCCATTTCCACAAAGTTTGGAAGCTGTGAAAAATGTAAATAAAAACAAAATGCAATGATGTGCAAATCATTTAAACCCTACATTCCATTGAAAATACTTCAAAAATAACATATCAAGTGTTGAAACTGATATTTTATTGTTTTTGGTATGGGTGACGTGCACATCTGTGAAGGCGCCATTAATGCTGAATGATATATATATGTTTTGACAACATATGCTGCCATCCAGATGACGTCTTTTTCAGGGAAGGCCTTGATTATTTCAACAAGACAATGTCAAACCACATTCTGCATGTATTACAACAGCATTGCTCTGTATTAAAAGAGTCCAGGTGATAAACTGACCTGCCGCAAGTCCAGACCTGTTACCACTAAAAACATTTGGCACATTATAAAATGAAAAATGTGATAAATGAGACCCTGAGCTGCTGAGCAGCTGAAATCCTGTATCAAACAAGAACAGAAAAACATTTCACTTTCTAAACTATAGCAGTGTCTCCTCAATTCCCAAACGCTTACAGAGTGTTGTTAAAAGAAGAGGTGATGAAACACAGAGGTAAACAGGCCCCCGTCCCAACTTTTTTGGAACGTGTTGTTGGCATCAAATTCAAAATGGGCAAATAATTTTCTAAAATCAAATTTCTCAGTTTCAACATTAGATTTTTTGTCTTTGTATAATTTTCAATTAAATATAGCGTTTAAATTATTTGCACATCATTGCGTTTTGTTTTCATTTACATTTTGCACAGGATCCCAAATTTTTTGGAAATGGGGTTGTATTTCTCTTATTACAACTTGCTCTGCTTAATCAATCACATTCATCCCCGCCTGTTGGCTGGTAACCCATTATGTTTGTTCTACCTCGAAGGCAGCGCTGCCTTCAGAACTGTTTGGAGTAGCAATTTCGCACAAGAGCTCTGGGACCCCACAACTCCCCCTCAATTTGGGGATTATTTTACCCTGCACAGACAAGTACTGTAAGATGGTTGACATACATGCATTCAAATTTAAAGCACAGATAGCTTGACCGAGGTTGTGTTGCCCCCTTGTACAACATATCTATACCACAAAACTAACTGATTAAAGTTTCCTGAGACTTCCTGCTGATGGTGCACAGTTAAATACTGAACTTCCAGCACACAGACAGCAGCAGTGGAGCATTATGTGACTCGCTGAAAGAAGACGGGCAGAACTTTCTGACTGACATGTAACTAACGGAAGTAATACTAAACAATGAATGAGCCAAATAGCAAAAATTTAAATTATAAATCATAAAAGCTGCAAGACAACAAAACATACTCAATAGATAAATGATTTGCATTCAATCATTTCATGAAATGCCACTTTGGTTTTCAGCACCTTTCCTTTAATCAGGGAAGATTTGTTTCTTTCATCATTGATAAATGATAAAATGTCACTCATACTTTATCAAATCAACTGTTTTGATCAAATAACACTTGATTTTATTGAATCAAATAACTATTTAAATTTGTATGCATTTTTATTGACTCTAGTTTTACTTCACCTGCATTTTTATCAAACCCCACCCCCCACCAATTTTTTAAAATTCCACCCCTTGTAACACTGCACTACATTATAAATGGATTTTCAAACCCATTGATTATCCGTTCTATTCTAAATAAAGGTAATTGAAAGGTAATTATGGGTTAATTGTGCTTAAGCTACAGATACACAGATAGAGATTAGGCTGGAAAACTCTGGAGTGTTCGATTAAACTTCACATAAAGTAAAATCAGTTATCATAGGTCTGCAGCTACTTTGTGGTCTTACCATGATTTTACTGATGCACTCGTCCACGCTCTGTCCATTCTGGCACTCAACCCTGACGTTGCCGCTGTCATCCATGCTGTTGACTGACCACAAGTCGCACTTTGCCGTCTCAGCATGGCCCACAGCGCACCACTTTATGTACCGAGAAGTGCTGTCGGTGCTCAGCCCTGAGAACAAGAGCACATCTGTAACAATGCTGATCATTCACTGTACAGAATCACTTACACTGTCCAAAACCTGAGAAAACGGTATTTAAAGCTTTTAATCTGGGCTGCTTGTGTTTATTTACTTAGAAAACAACAATTAAGAGAAATGAGTGACTCCTGACTGTACATACAGAGTAAACAATCCATTCTTCTGTGTGTGAAACCTTTTTTAAACATTTCTGAATAATTCAGTGGTTGAGATGTAAACAGAGTGAAGGTTTAATCAAGCTTCATTAAGTGAAATCAGATTAATCAATCCTTCAGTGTAAATCAGTGTAACTGATCTTTCATTAGAAAAAAATCTGTTTGGTCAATCCTTCACAAAGGATTGTGAAAATCAGTTTAATTAATTCTTCATTATATTAAATCAGTTTAATTAATCATTCTACAAGTTAGATCAGTTAAATCAATCTTAATGAAGTTAAATCAGTTTAATCAATCCTTTAGCAAGTTACATCAGTTTAATTAACTCTCTATCGAGTTAAACCAGTTTAATCAATATTTCATTAAAATAAATAAGTTTGATCGAACTTTAAGTTAAATTAGTTTCATCAAATCCTTCATTATATTAAATCAATTTAATCACTGTGCCATTAATTTCAATGAGTTCAAGCAACCCTTCATCAAGTTAGTTCAACTAAATTCATCCTACTTTTTTAGTCAGTCTTTCCTATGCGCTTATATTTTGAATGTAAAGCTCCATATACACTGTTAGAAATAAAGGTTCTGTTCAGGTACATGTGCCGTTCATCAATGTACAAACAGTGTAAATATTCCCTCAAAGGTACAACAGTGGTTTTAAGGTCTGATTGTGAACCTTAAATAAGTTTTTCCAGGTGAAAAGTTCGTATTTGTACCTTTTCATAACCGAATGTTTTAAACAGAACAGTAAAATAAAAGCCTGGAGACGAGACGGGGTGAGTGGAGTCAGTACAGCTTAGAACATATCATTTCAGTGGATTATGGTACAGTTATGTTCCCTGACTGAAGGTACTGAGATGTACCCTTAAGGGTTCCACCCCAGTGACAAGAGGGGAACTGCTCCAGTGACAGTTTAGTACTGTTTTTTTTCTCAGAGTGTATTGTCAGATGTGCCTTAGGGACAGCTGATAGCCTGACTCACTGGATACTGTTTTCTACCCATTTCAAAAGCTAAAAACAACACCAGGTTTGAATTTGTCTGTGTACTGAACCTCCCTATCAGATAAACACAGACGGCAGAATAAACAAAACGTGTTTATTTAAAGGTGAGTCATTTCATTTTCTGTTAGTTGGTAATTTTTTGACTGAATAGTAAGCTGCGAAGTGAGAGTGAACTCTCGTGACAAAAGACTTGTGTGGCTACATTTTTTAACAATATTGTCACAGTGAGAAACATTTCATTAAGAAAAGTTCCAATGTGTGTCTCTTACTCTTGACAGCCTTGTTCAAAAACGTAATACTTACCATTTACACAACAGGTACAGGAAGGTATTTGGAATGCCATTGTCATATGTAATAAACACACAACAATGTTAGTTACGAAGAAAAAAAAATGGTGTTTTTAACTTTTGAAATGGGTAGAAAACACCCTCCCATCCCCACATTCTTCACCACCAACCTTTTCCCATCCCTGCATTCCTCGACAACTTCCTTTTCCATCCCCACATTCTTCAACACCATCCGCATGTTTTTCAAGACATGGTCCCGTCCCCATCCTCCTGTTCTTCAACATCATTCCCTCCCTATTCTCCCATTCTGTGACATTATCTCCATGTTCAAACTCCATCCCCTCCCCATCTCCACATTCTTCAACATCGTCCCCTACTGGCATTGTGCAAATACCAGTAGCCGACCTATTTCTCTTAGCAGTCTTCGTTAGGTGAGCGTGGGGCTTGTCAGCGCTCGTCTAAGTGAGCAGGAGTGAGGAAGAACGTGTGGATGGGAAAGAGATGGTGCTGAATACGGGGATGGGAAAAAGGTGGTGTTGAAGAATGCAGGGATGGGAAATGAATGATGTTGAGGAACACAAGGATGGGAAATGAATGATGTTGAGGAACACAAGGATGGGAAAAGGATGGTGTTGAAGAATGTGTAGATGGGAAAAGGAAGGTGTTGCATGTGGGGATGGGAAAAAGAAAGTGTTGAGGAACGCAGGGATGGGAAAGAGATGGTGTTGAAGAATGTGTGGATGGGAAAGAGATGGTGTTGAAGAATGTGTGGATGGGAAAAGGAAGGTGTTGAAGAATGTGCGGATGGGAAAAGGCTGGTGTTGAAGAATGTGTGTATGGGAAAGGGATGGTGTTGAAGAATGTGGGGATGGGAAAGAGATGGTGTTGAAGAATGTGTGGATGGGACAGAGATGGTATTGAAGAATGTGTGGATGGGAAAGAGATGGTGTTGAAGAATGTGTGGATGAGAAAGGGATGGTGTTGAAGAATGTGTGGATGGGAAAAGGAAGGTGTTGAAGAATGTGTGGATGGGAAAGGGATGGTGTTGAGGAATGTGAGGATGGGAAAGAGATGGTGTTGAAGAATGTGTGGATGGGAAAGGGATGGTGTTGAAGAATGTGTGGATGGGAAAAGGAAGGTGTTGAAGAATGTGTGGATGGGAAAAGGATGGTGTTGAAGAATGTGTGGATGGGAAAGGGATGGTGTTGAAGAATGTGTGGATGGGAAAGGGATGGTGTTGAAGAATGTGTGGATGGGAAAGAAATGGTGCTGAGGAATGTGTGGATGGGAAAAGGAAGGTGTTGAAAAATGTGTGGATGGGACAGGGATGGTGTTGAAGAATGTAAGGATGGGACAGGGATGGTGTTGAAAAATGTGTGGATGGGAAAGAGATGGTGTTGAAGAATGTGTGGATGGGAAAAGGCTGGTGTTGAAGAATGTGAGGATGGGACAGGGATGGTGTTGAAGAATGTAAGGATGGGACAGGGATGGTGTTGAAAAATGTGTGGATGGGAAAGAGATGGTGTTGAAGAATGTGTGGATGGGAAAAGGCTGGTGTTGAAGAATGTGTGGATGCGAAAGGGATGGTGTTGAAGAAGGTGTGGATGGGAAAGAGATGGTGTTGAGGAATGTGTGGATGGGAAAGGGATGGTGTTGAAGAATGTGTGGATGGGAAAGAGATGGTGTTGAAGAATGTGTGGATGGGAAAGGGATGGTGTTGAAGAATGTGTGGATGGGAAAGGGATGGTGCTGAGGAATGTGTGGATGGGACAGGGATGGTGTTGAAGAATGTAAGGATGGGACAGGGATGGTGTTGAAGAATGTGTGGATGGGAAAGAGACGGTGTTGAAGAATGTGTGGATGGGAAAGAGACGGTGTTGAAGAATGTGTGGATGGGAAAAGGATGGTGTTGAAGAATGTGGGGATGGGAAAGAGATGGTGTTGAAGAATGTGTGGATGGGACAGAGATGGTATTGAAGAATGTGTGGATGGGAAAGAGATGGTGTTGAAGAATGTGTGGATGAGAAAGGGATGGTGTTGAAGAATGTGTGGATGGGAAAAGGAAAGTGTTGAAGAATGTGTGGATGGGAAAGGGATGGTGTTGAGGAATGTGAGGATGGGAAAGAGATGGTGTTGAAGAATGTGTGGATGGGAAAGGGATGGTGTTGAAGAATGTGTGGATGGGAAAAGGAAGGTGTTGAAGAATGTGTGGATGGGAAAAGGATGGTGTTGAAGAATGTGTGGATGGGAAAGGGATGGTGTTGAAGAATGTGTGGATGGGAAAGAAATGGTGCTGAGGAATGTGTGGATGGGAAAAGGAAGGTGTTGAAAAATGTGTGGATGGGAAAAGGAAGGTGTTGAAAAATGTGTGGATGGGAAAGGGATGGTGTTGAAGAATGTGAGGATGGGACAGGGATGGTGTTGAAGAATGTAAGGATGGGACAGGGATGGTGTTGAAAAATGTGTGGATGGGAAAGAGATGGTGTTGAAGAATGTGTGGATGGGAAAAGGCTGGTGTTGAAGAATGTGTGGATGGGAAAGGGATGGTGTTGAAGAAGGTGTGGATGGGAAAGAGATGGTGTTGAGGAATGTGTGGATGGGAAAGGGATGGTGTTGAAGAATGTGTGGATGGGAAAGGGATGGTGTTGAAGAATGTGTGGATGGGAAAGAGATGGTGTTGAAGAATGTGTGGATGGGAAAGAGATGGTGTTGAAGAATGTGGGGATGGGACAGAGATGATGTTGAAGAATGTGGGGATGGGAAAGAGATGGTGTTGAAGAATGTGGGGATGGGAAAGAGATGGTGTTGAAGAATGTGGGGATGGGAAAGAGATGGTGTTGAGGAATGTGTGGATGGGAAAGAGATGGTTTTGAAGAATGTGTGGATGCGACAGAGATGGTGTTGAAGAATGTGTGGATGAGAAAGGGATGGTGTTGAAGAATGTGTGGATGGGAAAAGGAAGGTGTTGAAGAATGTGTGGATGGGAAAGGGATGGTGTTGAGGAATGTGTGGATGGGAAAGGGATGGTGTTGAGGAATGTGTGGATGGGAAAGAGATGGTGTTGAAGAATGTGTGGATGAGAAAGGGATGGTGTTGAAGAATGTGTGGATGGGAAAAGGAAGGTGTTGAAGAATGTGTGGATGGGAAAAGGAAGGTGTTGAAGAATGTGTGGATGGGAAAGGGATGGTGTTGAAGAATGTGTGGATGGGAAAGGGATGGTGTTGAAGAATGTGAGGATGGGAAAGAGATGGTGTTGAAGAATGTGAGGATGGGAAAGGGATGGTGTTGAAGAATGTGAGGATGGGAAAGAGATGGTGTTGAAGAATGTGTGGATGAGAAAGGGATGGTGTTGAAGAATGTGTGGATGGGAAAAGGAAGGTGTTGAAGAATGTGTGGATGGGAAAAGGAAGGTGTTGAAGAATGTGTGGATGGGAAAGGGATGGTGTTGAAGAATGTGTGGATGGGAAAGGGATGGTGTTGAAGAATGTGAGGATGGGAAAGAGATGGTGTTGAAGAATGAGGATGGGAAAGGGATGGTGTTGAAGAATGTGAGGATGGGAAAGAGATGGTGTTGAAGAATGTGTGGATGAGAAAGGGATGGTGTTGAAGAATGTGTGGATGGGAAAAGGAAGGTGTTGAAGAATGTGTGGATGAGAAAGGGATGGTGTTGAAGAATGTGTGGATGGGAAAGAGACGGTGTTGAAGAATGTGTGGATGGGAAAAGGATGGTGTTGAAGAATGTGTGGATGGGAAAAGGATGGTGTTGAAGAATGTGTGGATGGGAAAGGGATGGTGCTGAGGAATGTGTGGATGGGAAAAGGAAGGTGTTGAAAAATGTGTGGATGGGAAAGGGATGGTGTTGAAGAATGTGAGGATGGGACAGGGATGGTGTTGAAGAATGTAAGGATGGGACAGGGATGGTGTTGAAGAATGTGTGGATGGGAAAGAGACGGTGTTGAAGAATGTGGGGATGGGAAAGAGATGGTGTTGAAGAATGTGTGGATGGGAAAGAGATGGTCTTGAAGAATGTGGGAATGGAAAAGGGATGGTGTTTAGGAACGCAGGGATGGGAAAAAAGATGGTGTGAAAGAATGTGTGGATAGGTAAGGGATGGTGTTGAGGAATGTGTGGATGGGAAAGGGATGGTGTTGAGGAATGTGTGGATGGGAAAAGGAAGGTGTTGAAGAATGGGTGGATGGGAAAAGGATGGTGTTGAAGAATGTGTGGATGGGAAAGGGATGGTGTTGAAGAATGTGTGGATGGGAAAGAAATGGTGCTGACGAATGTGTGGATGGGAAAAGGAAGGTGTTGAAAAATGTGTGGATGGGAAAGGGATGGTGTTGAAGAATGTAAGGATGGGACAGGGATGGTGTTGAAAAATGTGTGGATGGGAAAGAGATGGTGTTGAAGAATGTGTGGATGGGACAGGGATGGTGTTGAAGAATGTGTGGATGGGAAAGAGACGGTGTTGAAGAATGTGTGGATGGGAAAGAGACGGTGTTGAAGAATGTGTGGATGGGAAAGAGATGGTGTTGAAGAATGTGTGGATGGGAAAGAGATGGTGTTGAAGAATGTGTGGATGGGAAAGGGATGGTGTTGAAGAATGTGTGAATGGGAAAGGGATGGTGTTGAGGAATGTGGGGATGGGAAAGAGATGGTGTTGAAGAATGTGGGGATGGGAAAGAGATGGTGTTGAAGAATGTGGGGATGGGAAGGAGATGGTGTTGAAGAATGTGGGGATGGGAAAGAGATGGTGTTGAAGAATGTGAGGATGGGAAAGAGATAGTGTTGAAGAATGTGTGGATGGGAAAGAGACGGTGTTGAAGAATGTGTGGATGGGAAAGAGACGGTGTTGAAGAATGTGGGGATGGGAAAAGGATGGTGTTGAAGAATGTGGGGATGGGAAAGGGACGGTGTTGAGGAATGTGTGGATGGGAAAGGGATGGTGTTGAAGAATGCAGGGATGGGAAAAGGCTGGTGTTGAAGAATGTGGGCATGGGCGGGGTCATGCTAGAAATGTCAGGGAAGGTTAAGAATTTCATCCTCATGCAGCTTTCTATTGGGAAAGAGATGGTGTTGAAGAATGTGTCGATGGGAAAGGGATGGTGTTGAAGAATGTGTGGATGGGAAAGGGATGGTGTTGAAGAATGTGTGGATGGGACAGGGATGGTGTTGAGGAATGTGAGGATGGGAAAGAGACGGTGTTGAAGAATGTGTGGATGGGAAAGAGACGGTGTTGAAGAATGTGGCCATGGGAAAGAGATGGTGTTGAAGAATGTGTGGATGGGAAAGAGATGGTGTTGAAGAATGTGTGGATGGGAAAGAGATGGTGTTGAAGAATGTGGGAATGGAAAAGGGATGGTGTTTAGGAACGCAGGGATGGGAAAAAAGATGGTGTGAAAGAATGTGTGGATAGGTAAGGGATGGTGTTGAGGAATGTGTGGATGGGAAAGGGATGGTGTTGAGGAATGTGTGGATGGGAAAGGGATGGTGTTGAAGAATGTGTGGATGGGAAAGAGATGGTCTTGAAGAATGTGGGAATGGAAAAGGGATGGTGTTTAGGAACGCAGGGATGGGAAAAAGGATGGTGTGAAAGAATGTGTGGATAGGTAAGGGATGGTGTTGAGGAATGTGTGGATGGGAAAGGGATGGTGTTGAGGAATGTGTGGATGGGAAAGGGATGGTGTTGAAGAATGCAGGGATGGGAAAAGGCTGGTGTTGAAGAATGTGAGCATGGGTGAGGTCGTGCTAGAAATGTCAGGGAAGGTTAAGAATTTCATCCCCATGCAGCTTTCTATTGGTAACCCGGTGCTGTTATTCATGGTCATGATGTATGTTTGTATCAACAAATCATACATGGCAACCCAAGAACTGTAATGAAGGTAGGCTGACCATATTGGTGTTTATTTGTTCTCTAATTATTTGTTCTCTAATGATAACACAAAGATAAATTAATTAGTTTGTGTGGTCAGTAACATCATGTAAAGATAAACCAGATATTACCTGATAGCAGTCTGGTTATCAGCTAATGCATTACCCCTCGTGAAACAGCAGCAAAGATGCATGTGATGTCAACAATTTCATCATTTCACAGAGCGTTTTCTACAAGCTTCATTTTCAGTAACCTAAAACTGGTGTTGTACTGAGACTAGAACGTGGGGAAAGTAGGTGCACTTTCAAAAAATAGCAGGTTTTTGGTAAACCAAAATTTCTGCCACAAGTGTTTCTCTAGATCCTCACACAGAACAGTAACGCTGCCTTTAAAGCTGAGCTCAGTTTCACACATCTTACAGGAAACCGTCTTTTTAGATGATGTTAAAGTGAAATGATACCATATTTTTTACTTTTTATTCATTCATAACTCTGCACTGTAGTCTTTGCCATCTGTGTTGTTCCTCTTTCAGTCAAGTGATGTAAATGGGGACTACAAATATCATCATGACAAAATCGATAACAATATTTGTTGCCAGTGATGTTTTCCATGATCAACGTTATCAATAGCATTGATAAGTTGTTGCAGCCCTTAGAATAGATGTGTTGTATAAGCTTTGTGTAATGTAGTTACTTTTGGATGTGTGTTTGTATTTTCTCTCTGGATCACCTTTCTGCAGGGAGCGGACGCTGGCCGTGTACTGTGCTCCGAGATAAAGGAAAGCATCCATGATCTTAGGAAGCTGCACCAGCCTTTTTGTAGAGTCTCTGAACATGAGATTTTTAGCTGTGTAAC